TAATGTTAAGCTACCCACGCTTTCACTTTTCTTTTAAAGAAGAGGTGAAAACTAAAAATTAATAACTTAAATCCTTGTAATTTTGCGAGAAATGGGTCAAGCCCCAAATTTGAAGTATTTTTATCGATAAAATTGTCCCTAGAAGTTTGATCACTACATGCCCGGACACATTGTATACTAGGGCACTATTTAAGTTGTGAGCCTCGACAACATAACGTGTTGTTAGACGACATCTGATACTTTTAATGAAAAGTTTGTCATTTTTGACTACAACCTTATTCAAAACTTTTTATCATTTGAGCACGTTTTGTATTATTAACATTGAATTGAAAATTATCTTGACTACAAAAACATGGAATTGACTTGCGGAAATTTTCGCGCGAAGATTTATTATGACTTTCGACGTGGTTAATCAATACAAAACTGAAGAGGTCAGCTAAATTTCACTTTTGGTGATAAAGATCTATCCTTTACCATTGTAAAACGCTAGTTTAAGAAGTATAATATTTTATGTCATTGGCTCACCAGTGAACTTTGCGAAAGTCGTCCAAAATGACTAATTGTGGCGGAAAACATTGATGTTGTCAGAAAAATGGAAGAGAAACCTCGTCATGTGATATATCGTAGGATTGAGATAACCCTAGGCATTAATTCCACTAGCAGTAATAAAATATTGTATAACCATATTATGGTTAATAGGTTTTTTTCTCACTGGATGTCACAAAATTTTTCAAACGCTCAATAGGACGCATGTGTCGTTTAGTCCTTGGAATAGTTTGATAAATACGTTTAAAAAGCTTTAAAGGCCGTTTTTAAAATTGTGACAGTTGACGAATTAAGGATCTATGCATAATAATCCTGAAAATAAACAGCTATCGACTATGGAGGTGTTTTAAGATGAACCAATTCCAACAAAAGTCCCATGCGGTCGGAACACTTTGAAACTTACGGTCGCCTATTTTTCCGAAATATCCGATTATGTGACTAAAACGTCACTAGAGAAATTTAGAATGGTTAATTCTTAATAGTAAACAGCCACTTTTTTTCCAAAAGTCTTCAGTTTAATAAGGGAAACTGACCAGCATAGTCGAATCGCCATTCGTGACGAAAATGTGAGCTTTTACACGTCTCGTCAAACAACTGACTATTTGAACACTCAAAATATGAAATAAACAGGTCCAACGCTACAAAATTCTTGCTTGGAATCTAAACACTTCTTTTGGTACCCGTATATTAAAATTAAATGCGTGAACAGAGATTTATGTAGCCAGAAGCAACTGTCGTGCGGTCAAAAACCATGCTTTGGAGGTGCCTCAAGCTGAGTGGAAAAAATGCTATGAAAAGTATTTCGAACACATTAAAAAGTACATAAACCATGAAAGACAATACCAATAAACGCAATCAATACAATTTTAATAATAAACTACTTTGTTTTCATAGTTAGGCTCACAACTTAAATAGTGTCCCACGTATTATGTATAGTGCTCATTGAACTTAGAAGGAATAACATATGTGCTTAATATTATTAAGGGTTGTACCCTAGCTAACCATCGCCACCATATTTTTTCTTGATTACTTTTGTTATAGACCGAAATTAAAAAAAGTGGTTTGAAAAATGTATAATATAATGTATCAAAGCTATTTTTTTAAATAATTTGTTTGAATTGATTAGATATTTGCAGCAAGTTACAGATTTAATTACTGCTAAAAGTTACCATTTTAGCTAATTTTTAATTTCGAACTTGCAGCATATCTATACAGGGTGTTTGGCGCATCGTGTGCCAAAATGATTTGGCGGATAGAATGGGTCATTTCCTATATTTTCAGCCCCCATAACACGTTCCATACCAGGCGGCTACTTTTAAATTATTTTTTTTAGTAATTTCACCNTTTCTTTACAATAAGTAATTGGAAGAAAAAAAATTCTATAAAAAATTAAAAAAAAATCTCAAAAATTTTTTGACCACTTTTTTGTCGATAAAAATAAGTCTAGTTTCATCTATTTTCATATGTACACTTTAACGTGACTCACACTGTATAAAGTCGTGTTAGTTACACCACTTATAACTCAAGAACGGCTGAACCGATTTAGCTGAAAATTGTCAGGGAGGTAGTTTAGAGCCAGGAGAAGGACATAGGATACTTTTTATCCCGTTCAAAATTAAAAAAAAAGTCTGCTTATTTATTGCCATTAAGGCGGAACAAAGTTCGCCGGGTCAGCTAGTAATAAATAAAAGTAGCTTAGATATGGCTTTAACTATTTACAAACCACTTTTTTATTTCGGTTTGTAACAAGAGAAATCACGAAAGATTATCTGTGGCGCAAGTTTTAGAGGGGTAAGTAAGCTCCTTAAATATTTTTGTTACTATTACTTAAAAAAATAGATTAAAAATGTACTCTTCGTGCTTTTTTCAAAGCAAAATCTTTTACACAATCGTCGATATCAAATTGTATCTAATTTTCAATTGCCAGTATAGCTAGATTTGTTAGTCTCAACGTAGACATAGTCGACCTTTTTTTTTCTTGTTCATGCAATGTTTTTTTTCTTATCCGCCGCCCCCTTTCATATGCCGCCCGGGGCCATGGCCCCCCCTGCCCCCCCCAAGCTACGCCACTGCTACCATGACCTTACTTTTACCAAATATTGTTATCCTAATCCATGTGTAAGGTATAATAATAAAGCAAATACCTGTTTTTTTGTTTCGGGTGTTACATCGCCGAAGTAACAAGAAAACACACTTAAAACTTGATGATTATCAATTTTTTTGGGACTATGACGCTATCTACCAATACTATGATAAATACCCTCAAATCATACAGTGGCAAAACGGTTCACAGATTGATAGTTTTTTTTAAATCGAATTACTAATAATTAGAGAGAAAATGATCATTCAGACAGTTGACCTAAGTATAGACTTTGAAGATTAATAACTTAAAAATTACTTGTTTCTTTCAGATTTTTTTTTGTTGCACATAATTTGGAATGTTTACTTTCAAAATTCATCAGATTTAATGCGAAAAGTACATATTTAGTTTTTCAGCCTCGGTAACATTTGTCATGGAATGACCCCTTAGTTAATGTTCAATCAAGCATGTTTTCTTGATTTTGTTCCTCCTAAAGCGAAGATTTTACTGTTCTCATGAATTTCTTTCATTTGCGAAATAATATCGCGCGATATTGCGTGTTTCTCATACAGTCGTGGCTAATGGATTCAGTGATCAAAAGCCACTACGTCTCTGAGCAATATTGCTGCTGATCGTGTCCCTTAAGGTGCATCCCTAGGTCACTTTTAATATCGTGTGTATTTTATAACGTATGAATTATGCGTAGAATACGCATGAGGGACAATAAATACTTGTATGAAAAGACAGTTTCGTTCGGGTGTCACGCACGCATGCGGGCGCGTCCCCGTGATGACATCCGCACGATATAGGTAAGCCTAGGCGCAGACCACCGGCTTTTAGTTGGCCGAAAGTTGGGCCCGATTCTAATTTGTATGAGGAATCGGCCGATACCAAATCGGTGTAATGTGCGCACTTTCATACATCTCCATACTGATTAACAGCCCGACCCAACTATCGGCCAACTAAAAGTCGGTGGTCTGCGCCTAAGTTAAGAATGGGACTGCCCTAACAGTGGAATACCCTTAATTCCGTATCAAATGGCAGATTCACCAACATAATGATTCAACTTGATTACATAACAATTATGATGACTAACTAACACGTGATACCAAGTGCATTACGACGATTGTACATAACTAAATGTATAGAATGGGGTCACCGTTCGTGCGGTTATCGGAACCGGCTGAGCGGTTACTACAGTAAACACGCTATGTACTGATATATCATATAGTACGATATCTATGAAAGCGAAAAGTCACTGATTGACTGACTGACTCACTCACTCATCACGAAATCTCACAAACTACAAGTGCTAGGAGTCTCAAATTTAGCATGGGGGTTCCTTTTAGAACGTAGATGCTCAAATTACTAACATACTTTAAACAAAATCCGGCTCAGTCGAACTTACGCGCCGTATTTTTCCATGCATCCCCCTAATATCTTTCAAGTCATTCATACTGATTCCAAACAAACTCATGAGTTGATCCTTTTTTTAATGGGAATGACTTAGTACCTACCAGCAACTATAATTCCATCATATAAGAAATAAGATGCTCAATTCCTCTAAATATGATTTTTAAGACGCAGTAGAGCCTCGAATGCGACAATTACTATGTAGTTCTTACCTACTTGAGTACGAATTCATATAAATAGCATTTGTGGATTTCTATTTAACAGCAGAATTTAGCGAATTTAGTAGAAGGTGGCAATGTCAACAACATCTGGCGGCACGATGCGTAAATTGTTATGAGTCACGGTTACCCCACTGTTTACATGATTGACGGACAGATTGAGGACTACCTATTGACCCTTGTATTTGTGTAATGATCGCCCCGGGTGCCAACCCATGCTACGCCGCCACTGGGTTGACATAGTAGAGCATTCTGTTTGTGAATGTATCCTCACAAAACTATATTTACTATTTTAATATCTAAAAATACCTCTGATAAACCTAATTAAACTAAGTGTATGCATATTTACCTCAACGATAAAATGTGTGCAGTTTATACAGCATGGAATGCATTTTAGAGCTTGCTTTTAAGGATAACAGGCTTTTATGCACCTATCATTAATCTTTGGAGAACTTATAAATAAACAAAAGGTTTTTTGAACAAAAGGACACTTCAACCTACCACAACATGACATCTCATCTGAGATCTCATATCCTTATATGCGGCCTGCATCTAGCGTCTTCCTGCTAGCTTTATGAGGTCGTCGGTCCACCTTGTGGGTGGACGTCCTACGCTACGCTTTCTGGTATGTGGCCTCCACTCCAGAACCTTGCTACCGTCAGTTCTGCGTACGTGCCCTGCCCACTACCACTTCAGCTTGCTAATCCGTTGACTATTAATATTAGTGCAGAATATAAAGATTATCCAAACTTGTATTCCAGGAACCTTCCAGTTCCGCGAGTTCGGCCAATACAGCATCAACCTAACGGAGAAAGGGAACAAATGCAGCCCGCAAATGACCGCGGAGCCCGACGAGGCGTCGCTGCCGATCCTCACGGCGGTGGTCATCCTGCTGTCCATGGCTACTCTGTGGTATATCGTCAAGGGCATCGGCAAGCGCGTCATCGCTGGGAGACTGTACGCGAGGTACTTTGCCAGGTGAGACGAAGTTTCTAGAAGTTTAATGGTAGACTAGCGACCGCCCGCGATGCGTGGATCCCGTTTTACTCCCTTAGGGGTGGAGTTTTGTAAAATCCTTTCTTAGCGGATGCCTACGTCATAACATCTACCTGCATGCCAAATTTTAGCCCGATCCGTCCAGTGGTTTGGGCTGTGCGTTGATAGATCACTATGTCAGTCACCTTTGAGTTATATGTATTTAAAAAATATAGGGAATCCCCCATGCTAGCGTTTTTCAGCACTATCGTCGTGTCCGCGTGGCGTTAACGCAACGTTTTCGGACAAGACACACGCTGCGCATGCGTTGCCGAGACGACTACGTTCGAAAGACTAGAATGGGGGAGGGGTTGAATCAAGCGAAATCCTATAACCGTTACAGAGGATAAAAAATAAAAAGATTTTGTTTTCTCAACTAAATCTTTTCGTCATTCGATGAGTGATTCGCTTCGTCTTATTTATTACTAGCGGCCGCGCGCGACTACGTACGCGTGCACCCTGTTTTACCGCCTTAGGGGTGGAGTTTCGTAAAATCCGTTCTTAGCGGATGTCTGCAGTTACCACATGATGCGGGCTACGTTCACTTTGACGTTTGACCTAATCGCGGACCGCAGAACGAATCCTGTGTGGCAAATCTTTTTATGTTACCGTCCCCCAGCAACGCCCTATGCCGAAATCCGAGCCCCACTCGGGGGCGCCCTTAGGCTCTTTGCTTAAATTTTAAGGTTGAGAGCCATCTGCGCTCACCTATTGTCCGCTGAAGCTGAGAAAGCCGCACACGGCTATCAGCACAGTTAGTCCGAAAAAAAATCAAATCCTTTTATCATCACGACCAACAAAAATTAAAACCCGTGTTGTTCCAGGGAAGACAACGAGCTCGGCTCGGAGACCCCGGTCTTGATGGAAGTCACCCCGCGCTCGCCAACGCGCTCCCGGCTGCGATCCTTGGACATATTCCGGGGGCTGGCCATCGCTCTCATGGTATACACAGCACTTCTATAAGAGCTCTTTCAAATTAGACGTTTTTTGCAGGACCGCACACTGAAAATGTATGACAAGCGTTGGAATTAAAATAACAGTCAATTACCAACAGAGTGTGCGGTGCGGTCTTGCAAACGCACGACAAACCTTCTCAAAACGTCTAATTTGAAAGAGCCCTAAGACACAGTATTAAACATTTTCATTGCTTTTTGACCTTACGACATGTGAGTAAATTTAAAATAGGACAGAACCCTATAAATGGTCAGGCCCTGCACGTCACAGTCATAAACGCCAAAATTATTGTTAAAATTGATAAAAAAACATACAAGACATTTCATTTCCACATAAGACAAAGTATTCATTCGACTTGCCAAATGTTTGTCTCGAAGCGCTGGTAGGACAAAAAGTAATGAGATAAAATATGTGTATAATTTTTCGGCCGTTTGGTGTGGTTCGGAAACGGACTACTATGCCGAGAGGTCCCGGGTTCGATTCCCGGCCGGGCAGAAATTGAAATTATGAATTTTAATTTCTGTGACGGGTCTGGGTGTCACTATGTATAATATGTATGTATTTACAAAAAAAAAATTTAGTCCGTTTATATCCGTTGTCTATTACCCATAGTACAAGCTTTGCTTAGTTTGGGACTAGAAGCGTTGTGTAAAATCAAAATCAAAAAAATCAAAAATCAAAATCAAAAATATTTATTCAGTTTAGACCACAAGTGGCACTTATGAACGTCAATAGAAAATAATAAAAAAAGAAAAAGGTAGCCCTTATGGGGCACTTTACATGTCTCCTTATCTTTTGGGCCCTACCAGCGCTTCGAGACAAACATATGGCAAGTGCTGAGAAGAAACGCCGGAACAAACTCAGTCACCACTTATTGCCAGGAATTATCTAACGGTAAGAATAGTCAAATTTAAGTACATCAAATATGTGCAGACTGAACTGACCACGCATCCTTGTCATCAATATAGTCTCGAACCTTGTAGTACCCTTTGGACATAAGGGTATTTTTTATATGTATCTTAAATTTGTTTATTGGCAATTCGACAAATGTCCAAGGGTATTTATTTATGTTAAGGCTTCTTTAGCAAGCACAGTAATTAATTTTTATTTTCCTTCAAGATCTTCGTGAACGCCGGCGGCGGCGGCTACGCGGTATTCTCTCACAGCGTATGGAACGGCCTCACGGTGGCTGACGTGGTCTTCCCATGGTTCGCCTTCGCTATGGGAGAGGCTCTTGTATTGTCACTTAATGGTCGCTTGAGGACCTCTCTGCCTAGGATTACAGCTTTTTATCAGGTGAGGAGCAGTTTTATTATAGTTTTTAATAGAACTAGTTCACTTTGCTCTGGTGAAATTCACTTTGTCAGTGAGAGACCGAGGTATTTGACACTATCGTTATATTTTGGCTAAGTAACTCAATATCGTTATAAAATATTCTGATATGTAAACAAATTCAATAATACTGCAAAGTTTCATCAAAATTCTTTCAGTAGTTTTTGCGTGAAAGCGTACCAAATTTTAATATCCATCCTCCTAAACTTTCTTGTAATCTATCTTTTTCATTTATTTTCTGAGGATCGAAAAGTTTTTTCTTTAAAAAAATTTAGTTATTAAAAGTAACCGCTAGGGGGGCTGAACCATCTGCATTGTATTCTTTTACACAGTCCCTAGCGAGTACGTTTAATATAAACTCCTGTTGGGCTGGATAAAATCTTATCGATGATTTTAGACGACAAACGTATGGGTTTATCGCGTAAAATCGATAAAATTGGCGTGATAAAATCTTATCGCAACTATTCGCAACGCGCATTCTAGGCCTACGGGTAAGCCCACTGGGAGTTTAGTGCGAGTTTACATCAAAAATGTCATTAATGTATGATAGACTGCACAGCGTCCTTAGCGGATACCTCAAGAACTAAAATCTTCGTAGATTTGTTTGATACACTAGATAGCGACTATGTTCAATGCAAACTCGAACTAAGCACATTGATGATGATAATTTGTCATGTCTATGGACGTGACGTATGACGTTTCCATGGAAACGTATTATGACACGTCCATAGACATACGTACTTTCATGTCTATGGACGTGTCGTATGACGTTTTCATGAAAACATATTATTGTTTATTAATAAAATGATAGAATGTCACAATACTAAATACTTTATTATTAATTAATAATAATAATGATTGTAATGTACCACAGGTGGCCCGTCGCTCGCTCGTGCTAGCTCTAATCGGCATAGTGCTGAGCTCACAACTGGTATCCTGGGAACACGTTCGACTCCCGGGCGTGTTACAGCGCCTGGCTGCTATGTACTTAATAGTCGGGGCCTTGGAGTGCACCTTCATGCCTACCAGCCAGAATATTACTCCTGGTGAGCTGTCTACAAATAGTAAAACGTGTTTCTCTGTGAAAATATGAATTAAAAATGTAGTTTTTTAAAATTAATCGAATGAAGCTATACCTTATACAGGGTGTTAGGTAAATGGGTATATGAGCCGACACTAGCCCATGTTAACATGGCCATATAAATGGTATGGTGAAGTCAGAAAATTAATTTCTTCATTTTAATTATTTTAATTTTCATACAAATCGGATTTTATAAAATATATTTTGTATGAAAATTTAAAAAAATAAAATGATGATATCAAATTTCTGACTTCACCATAGGTACCATTTATATGCCCATGTTAACATGGGCTAGTGTCGGCTCATATACCCATTTACCTAACACCCTGTATAAAGGCTGGCAATGCACCTGTAACGCCTCTGGGTCTGCGGGTGTCTATGGGCGACGGTTATCACTTACCATCAGGTGATCCGTTTGCTCTTTTGCCTCCAGTCACATAAAAAAACACCTACCTATTAACGTATTTACACAAAAATACGCACTTTTTACGATCTCACCTGACATTAGAGGGAGGGGGTAGGGGTCGAGTTAAATCTCACAAAATCTCAAGGGGGGAGAGGGGTCTAAAAATCGCCGAAATCACCTCACGTAACTACTGAACGGCCCTTACTGTCTGTGATAGTTTGAAAAATGTATGTTCTGTTTCCCAGGTCGTTCCTTGCTCCGTGACATCACTGCTGGTTGGCGCCAGTGGCTGATCACAATGGTACTCGTCGGCATACAAGTAAGTGTCAATCATCATTCACTACTAAAGGCTAAATTTAATTTTAGTAGTCCTTTATTATGACATTTTATGCCCGACTTTGTTCAACCCTAAACCATGAAAAAAAAGTGGTTGGTTTTCAACCATAAAGCACACTTCACAGCATAAAGTTCAAATTAATGTAGGCTCTGTGTTCTTGCACATCTACATAACGTTCTATTTCGATCGTCGTATCATGCAGGTGGTGATAACGTTGACTGTCCCCGCGCCCGGCTGTCCCCGCGGGTACATGGGCCCCGGCGGGCTCCACCTGTCCGCGGCCGGCCAGCAGCTGCAGAACTGTACCGGCGGCGTCGCGGGACACGTCGACAGGTATACTGTACCCTCAACCAGGCTGTAACGTTGGCTGTCCCCGCGGGTACATGGCCCGGCGGGCTCCACCTGTCTGCTAGCGATCAACAGCTGCAGAACTGTACCGGCGGCGTCGCGGGACACGTCGACAGGTATACTGTACCCTCAACCAGGCTGTAACGTTTGCTGTCCCCGCGGGTACATGGGCCCCGGCGGGCTCCACCTGTCCGCGGCCGGCCAGCAGCTGCAGAACTGTACCGGCGGCGTCGCGGGACACGTCGACAGGTATACTGTACCCTCATCCAGGCTGGAACGTTAGCTGTCCCCGCGGGTACATGGACCCCTAGTGGCTCCAACAATAGCCCAATGCGGTCGGTGTCGAACTAGCCTAAACGAGACCCGAAAAATGCGGTTTCGAACTCATTGACTCATCAACCGCTGAGGAACCCAAGCATTTACCACGTGGGGTTAACATAAACACGACTGTATTCCATCCAGTCAAATACAGTCGTGTTTGTGAACTCGCTCGTACATTCATACTCAATCGCCTGATAAAAACGTATGCGATAAAACGCCGCTATGTGAATGCGCACTTTTGAGTGTAAAACCGAGATCAAAATCTAATTGATTCTCATTTTATTTTCAGATTGATACTTGGCCCCTCCCACTTATACCAGAAGGGTACCTTCCGTCAGTTGTACCACACGTCGCTGCCGCACGACCCTGAAGGCATCTTGGGGATACTATCTGGAGTGATGGTGGTCCAAGCAGGAGCTCATGCTATGAGGATCATGCTGGCTTATAACCACGCCAGGTAAGAGTACAGTAGGGCAGCGGTTCCCGAATGGTGGTCCGCGAAACCCTGGGGTTCCGTGGAAAGGCCGCAAGGGTTCCGTAAAAAATATTATCCCACGTTTCGTGACCGACGTTGTTCACTCGCACTTGTTTATGCACAAGGGAGAGGCAGGGCGTGCGGGCGGAGTAGTACGGGGGTTCCGCTAGGAAAAGTATAATCAATTAGGGTTCCTTGGCAAAAAAAAATTGGGAAACCCTGCAGCAGGGGACACTTATCTGATTTGAAGGTGACACTAGAGTACACTAAAACTCCTAAGTCGTACCCACCAGACTAGAAAAAGACAGTAGGGTACATTCTAGCGACTGTAGGCCCCTCCCACCTAACCAGAAGGGGATATTAGGGTACATTAGTGACCAGGGCAGGGACACTAGGGTGCACTAGTAATCTTAAACCCCGCCCACCTGCCTAGATGGATACATTAGGGTACATTCTAGCGACAGGAGGCCCCAGCCACCTGATCAGAAGGGGAAATTAGGGTACATTAGTGACCGCAGGCCCCTCCCACTTATACCAGAAGGGTACCTTCCGTCAGCTGTACCATACATCGCTGCCGCACGACCCTGAAGGCATCTTGGGGATACTATCTGGAGTGATGGTGGTCCAAGCGGGAGCTCATGCTATGAGGATCATGCTGGCTTATAACCACGCTAGGTAAGGGTACAGTAGGGGACACTTATCTGACTTGAAGGTGACACTAGGGTACACTAACACTCCTAAGTCGTACCCAACAGACTAAAAGGGACGTTAGGGTACATTCTAGCGACCGCAGGCCCCAGCCACCTGATCAGAAGGGAATATTAGGGTACATTAGTGACCAGGGCAGGGACACAGGGTGCACTATTAATCTTAAACCCCGCCCACCTGCCTAGATAGATACATTAGGGTACATTCTAGCGACCGTAGGCCCCACCCACTTGACCAGAAGGGGACATTAGGGTACATTAGTGACCGCAGGCCCCTCCCACTTGTACCAGAAGGGTACCTTCCGTCAGCTGTACCACACATCGCTGCCTCACGACCCTGAAGGCATCTTGGGGATACTATCTGGAGTGATGGTGGTCCAAGCTGGAGCTCATGCTATGAGGATCATGCTGACTTATAACCATGCCAGGTAAGGGTACAGGGAACATTACCAACCTGACTTTAAGGGGTCACTAGGGTACATTAGCCCCCGCCAACCTGACTAAAAGAGGAAATTGAAGGATTGCAGGTATCTGCAATGTCGGTAACTGGAACCCAATGGAGTTAATTTAACCTCCAACCTCACCAATTAAAGGTTTAAGGGTACATTCCAGTGATAGTTGAGCCTGGTAACTTGTACCTAAAGGGTACATAATGGCAGCTATAATCTATACTAATATTATAAATGCGAAAGTAACTCTGTCTGTCTGTCTCTCTTTCACGCCTAAACCACTGAACCGATTTTGATGAAATTTGGTATAAAGATAGTTTGAGTCACGGGAAAGGACATAGGATAGTTTTTATCCTGGTTTTTGAAACAGAGACGCGTGTGATAACAGTTTTTCTGTGACAGACAAAATTCCATGCGGTCGAAAGCTAGTAGTTTATAATAGTAATTTACAACAAAAAAATCTGAAGTCTGATTTGCTGTTGACTATCGCCCGATTCCCATATTCAATCCTTGTCCAAATCCGAATCACAACTGTCAAATTGAATTCAGTTTTAGATTATATTTCCAAAATGTTCGATGCATTTACACTTTAATATTGTTTAAATAGTCTTATAAACAATATAAAAATGTAAAAACATCAAATACCGCAGTTATTTTGGACAAAAACATATTAAAATTTGACAGTTGACAATCCAAATCCGTATAATTTGGATTAGGATTGAATATAGAAATCCAGCATATATCTTTCAATGTTAGTGTAAAATGAAACATGATAAAACAAGAAAAATGTTAAAAATACAATCTCTGTATGTTCCTTAATATAAAACTAGTCCTTAATATAAAGCAATATATTTCAATATTTACAAACGTATTTTTCATTCCAGGGCCCGAATCATGCGCTGGGTATTCTGGTCGATCATTTTCGCGGTAACCAGTGGCGCTCTCTGCGAATTCTCCAAGAACGGCGGCCCGATACCCATCAACAAGAATCTATGGTCGCTGTCCTACTGCTTGGCGACGTCGTCTATGGCTCTATTCCTGCAAGCGTTGCTGTACTTTGTGGTGGATTTGAAACAGAAGTGGGGCGGTCGCCCGTTGTACTATGCTGGTAAGTGAAAGGATGATGGGCATATTGGGCGTTAAACCAACAGAAACAAAAAGTATACTAAATTAAAGCTTAATACTAGTACTTCATTTCATAGTATGACAACAATCCTGAAATACGCGGGGATACGGAGATAGAGGTCGTTGAATATGCAGAGTTTCCATAGTATTTCACAACACATTAGGGTAATAAAATAGTATTAGGTCAATTAGATTGCCTTTATCGATCATATTGAGAGTATTGTATCATATCTTACTATCGATTCTATCGATTTAGTAAGTATGTATACCGAATAAATCATAATCGATTATTCGATTGCAATAATCGATTATATTGCTGATAATAAGGAATTGAATTAACAATCAAATGATAGTAATGATGGTAATCAATAAAATCGATTAATCGAATTGTTAATTGATAAATCGTTATTTGGCAATATCGATTAATAATCGATCTGTAATCGATTATGCGACAACACTACAACTTAACTGGTAACTGGTAGAAATCCCATTGAAACATGACTGTTTTAATGTCATTTCTCTAAATGGTACCTAGGTATGGTCCTACGCTTATAATGTAGAACATGGTTTAAATATACTATTTCTTGGCCCCACTCCTGAACTGTTGGACATAATAATGGATAAATAACTTAATGTATTTAAAATGTAAGTAGATAAGTATATTCATTAATAATATTTTTTGTTTGCGCAATAAAGCACCTATTACTATTACACGTTATGTCAATTTCCAAGCAAACCCGGGAGTTTTTGGTAGTTATTTATATGAAAATATATTTCTGATATTAAGTCTTAACAAATAATAGTAGTTACATTTCTGTTGGTTTTACGCCCAGATTTCATAGAAAAGTGCCCATCATCCTTTCAATGAGGGTTTTCGCGATTGAAAAATCCGCCAGATGGCAATACGTAGACGCGAGGTCCAAATGCTGCATGATTGGTTATTTTTGACATGACATTGACAGATATGTCAAAATCCACCAATCATGTAGCATTTGGACCTCGCGTCTACGTATTGCCATCTGGCGGATTTTTCAATCGCGAAAACCCTCATTAAAAAGTCTATTAATGTCCATGGATATATTAATTAGCGCCATCTAGTCACGAACTAAGCAAAGCCTGTACCATGTATCAGACAGATTTATAAATAAACATGCTCATACATTAATTGCTTTATTATTAACAGATTGATTCTCTACATAATTTGATAATATGAAGAGAGCAAAAATGAAAGGCCGTATTGCGTTGCGTTTGTTTGAAAGTGACATCTTTATTTTTTGTTTTATAAATTACTTTTAAATCCTGTCCTTGACACAGATCTCTCTGGTTTTAAATATGATTTGATATGTATTTGGAATTTTACAGATTACGAGATTTAAATACACTCGACATCAAATAAATCGCACCTCCCGCGACAAGCATTTTCAAACGTATGCATCCCGACTTCCCACCAATATTGGCACCATTTAAAAGCCTAGTTCTAACCTTCATTTCATTAAAGGAAAGGTTTTTACCCCAAAAATGTGTCTTTAGACGGATCCAGAGTCACTTCTTCAAAAAATAGGTAGTTACGCTAGAGCCAACTTTTATGGCTATAAAACTGTTAAGTTGGGATTAATCGCTATCCATCTGTTAAAGAGGACACGTGAGATCATTATTTGGTTTTATAACCATAAAAATTGGTCTCATTGATCCCATAGGTGGGCCCAAAGTGAGGTATTTTTTCAAGTCACATTTATGGTATATGTTAATCATTTATTCAGAAATTAAATGTGTTTTTCTTTAAGGATATTTATTGAGCTTTCAAATAACACCAATATTGTTGGGGCACCATGATTGTGTCAGAAGAAAATCGTTAAAGTTCGCGTCGCGGAAGGTGCGGTTTATTTGATGTTGAGTATATTTGTAAGATTTTAAAAATATACAAAATTAACAAAATGTATATAGGATTTTAAACTTTCGCGTTCCATTTCAACTAAAATAGTAAGTAGTCTGCTTGTGACCACCGCTGCAGCAACGCAGCCGAAACTCATTAATAAAGGTCGCGTTAAGACCCGTGTCTTACTATTTTACCTATAACCATATTACAAGAACACTTTAAAATTCATTTACGAGTACATTGTTAGAGCATACGCTCTCATGCTGGCCTCTGGTAAATGCTGGATTTCTATATTCAATCCTAATCCAAAAGACAATGCCGGAAATTGGCGTCTTTTTTTTTTCGCGCGGCCATCGACCAAACTTTGTTTTTTGATTACAAAATAGTATAATAAACCAAACTTACTATGACATGTATACCTCTAAACTCAGTCTGAACTGAGTTACGAGCATTAAAAGTTTGATGATACTAGATTTGCTTTTTGCGCGCAAAGTTTTGTAAGAAATTGCAACAAAATAGTGAGATTGTATGTGTAAACAAACAATACCATCCATTAAAGGCTCCAGACATCAGTATGGAGCAGAATCAGCGCAATAAAAAAATGCGCATTATTTTGTTGCAATTTCTTACAAAACTTGCGCACAAAAAGCAAATCTAGTATGAAAATCATCAAACTTCTAATGCTCGTAACTCAGTTCAGACTGAGTTTAGAGGTATACATGCCATAGTAAGTTTGGATTATTACACTATTTTGTAATCAAAAAATAAAGTTTGGTCGATGGCCGCGCGAAAAAAAAAAGACGCCACTTTCTATACAAAATCTGGCTTTGCCATTATGGATTGTCAACTGTCAAATTTTAATATGTTTTTGGCCAAAATATCTGCGGTTTTTGATATTTTTACATTTTTATATTGTTTATTAGTATATTTAAACAATATTAAAGTGTAAAAGCATCGAAAATTTTGGATATATAATCTAAAACTAAATTCAATTTGACTGTTGTAATCCGGATTTGGACAATGATTGAATATAGGAATCGGGCGTTAATAATCATTTGTATAACATTTTATAAGCGGGAAGAGCCTGGATGCGGGCAGCGCAGGACCGTTCATTGTGGAAAACCTTGGGGGAGGCCTTTGTCCAGCAGTGGACGTCATTTGGCTGAAACGAACGAACGAACGATAACATTTTATCTTTTTTTCCCCAGGTCAAAACGCGCTATTCCTGTACATCGGCAGCGAGCTCCTCAAGCGGCACTTCCCTCTCCACTACGCCATCCCGGCACCCACACACGCACAACTGCTGGCCACACACGCGGCCGCCATGTTGATCTGGCTCGCGGTGGGCGTGGCCTTGTACAAGAAACGCGTCTTTATCACCTTGTAATAGAGTCCATATTGTGAAAAGGTAGGTGGAGTGTAATTGCATCCTTGTTTCCCAGGCGTTGTACAAGAAACGCGTCTTTATCACCTTGTAATAGAGTCACAATTGCATCCTTGTTTCCCAGGCGTTGTACAAGAAACGCGTCTTTATCACCTTGTAATAGAGTCCAGAATGATAACGGAGGGAGAGGTATGTCATCTACATTGTAAAGTTGTATATAGTCTGGTCCGTGAGCACGTAGAATTTTGTCCAATGACCCCAAGCTACCCATCCTTATTGCTCGCGCGTAATTATTTTGCTGTCGCGACTGTGTGACGGGCGCCCGCAGTGAGTGTGCGAGCGCGACAGCAATATAATTACGCGCGAGCGATAAGGATGGGTAGCTTGGGGTCATTGGACAAAATTCTACGTGCTCGGAGACCGGGCTTTATGTCATCTACATTGTAAAGTTTTAAAGTAACGGCGTCTTTATTGCTTCGTAATAAAGTTCACATTGAAAAGGTTTTGATTACCGATTTGTATTGGTGATTATCACCCTGTAAGAGTCTATATTTATAACGTAAAGAAGTGAGTAGATTGAACGAAATGGCATCCTTGTTTCGCCGGCGGTGGGCATGGTTTTGTACAAGAAACGCGTCTTTATCACCTTGTAATGGAGTCCAGAATGGTATGGAGTGAGGTGAGTTGGTGGAGTGTAATGGCCTACTTGATTTGATTGGCGTTGGGAGTGGATTTTGTGCAAGAAACGCGTCTTTATCACTTTGTATTAGAGTCCAGAATGATAACGGAGGGAAAGGTATGTCAAGTTGGCATCCTTATTGCCTTGTAAGAGTAGGCGCACACCGTTGATTTTTCGTCGGCCGATAGTTTAGTCGGGCAGTTGATCAGTATGGGCATGTATGGGAGTGCGCACACTACGCCGATTCGATTTGGCCGATTCTTCATACAATTTGAAATCGGGCACAACTATCGGCCAACTAAAAATCAACGGTGTGCGCCTACTCTAACAAAGTTCACATTAAGGCTGAGTTTCACCATCTTACTTCAACTAACGTCAACAATCTGTCAAACTCCATACTAAACATACCGGTTATTGTTAAGTTACGGTTAAAGTAAGTTGATGCAACTCAGCCTTAAAAGATGATTTGTGATAGTGATTATCACCCTGTAATAGAGTCCAATTTGATAACGGAGGAAGAGTTGAGTAGTTGGAATGTTAGCATCCTTATTGCTTGGTAATAAAGTTGAAAATGTGATTTGTAGTTGTCATTACTTTGGTTACGTTGAGAGACTTGATGAAGTCATGGTAAAGATTCTTTTAAAATTAAATGTAATTAATGATTATTTAAAGAAGCGTATTTAAAAATCTTCTATTTCTTGTTCTCTGTATTTTATAAAAGTGTCACCAATCGTTTATAAATCTAACTGCCAATCAATTTTTTTATTATGGAATTCACAAGTTTAATCATTAATATCAGTATGTAAATTAGGATATCGTTCAAATCGGATGTGATTTAGAAAAAATATATTTTTGAAACTGTCAATGTCATTTTAAATGGCAGTTGATGATTTTGTTAAAAATGAAATAACTTTTTAGGTGGTAAAAAACTCAATGAAGAATGAATTTTAATTAAATTATCAGTGGGAAAACATTAAATTTCACTGTCCTCGACATTGGCAAAATCAGTGTGCTTCAAATACGTACCATTGAAGCCATTAGACAGAATAATAATAAGAAATAAGTTACCTTTTGTACCATTTTGGCGAAGATCAGTGAAGTATCGTAGATTTATAATTTCCTAGATCTGTCCATAAAACAAAAGGAAAAGAAAAAATTTAAAAGTCAAATAAGTTTTACAGTAGGCAGCAGTAAACTATGCAGCAAGCGTCAACGCCTGGCTTCTAAATTTCATAATTTAAAAGCATTTTTTATAAAATGTAATGATTTTAAAATTAATAAGAGTCAGAGAAAGCTCAAATTGGTATGTACCTATGTATTCTAAATTTTAAAATAAGTTTCAGCCTATAAAGGACTACGTTTAGTCGATTTTGTTTGACCACTCGTGTTAATCTTCAATAATCGAGTGTATGTGGACAATTGACAACGTATTTTATTTTGTTTTGGTCAATTCAACAAAAAATATGCCAGGTTTTATACAACGTAAGTCGATGGACAATATTATACGAGCCAATCAGAAAAAAATATGGATCTTTAGACATCTTAACTCTTAGGCTGAGATGCACCACCTAACTTTGACCGTAACTTTAACGATAACCGGTGTTTTATAATGGATTGACGTTTGTCAAAGTTAAAGTATGATGGTGCAACTCAACTTTAGTCAAATTGTGGGCAGTTATATGAAAAAAACTTAGCTCACGGGGAGTTTGTATCTATCCCCATTTTATTAAAACGTTTTTTATGTATCATTCCAAATGAAACTTTATATCCATGCACGCTAGGCTTGTTTTTCCATCTTCCTCATTCTACATTTGTTTAAACATCAAAGCCAAAATGGCAGTTTAAAAATTCTTAAAACAATTTAGGCTTATTTTATAAGTATTTTTATTGGAAATGCCAAATTAAGAGAAAATACGTCAGAAATTAAGATTCGATGAAGTTAATATAGTTAGCACTATTATAATTGGAAAAATTAATAGTTTTTGTAACCGAATCAACTCAAATCTCTCATATTCCATTTGTTCACTACAGTGTTATCGGTGATCTAAACTTTGATTTCGAGTTGAGTCAATAACTTTTAATTATAACAAAATTGCAGCAAATGACATTCTAAAGGCTTAGCGCTTATCTGAGACAGTGCCTGAGATATATGTCAACTATATTCTATGATTCCTGTGTAGCTAGCACGTAAAACTTTCGTTCTTATCGTTTGCGTATTCGAAAAAATTCGATACCCAGCCTTCGAATTCAACGATAATGTGACAATCTCGGCTGTCGAAATTAGTTTCGTTCTACCATTTCTCATATTGAGTTCACTTTAGGTCACGTTCACAGGGGCGCTGTTTAAGTTTTCATACTAAATCGATTCGAAGTTGAAATTTTTTCGTGCTAGAGGTACTGAGCCTAAAAACTTGTTTTGAACGTCGATAACCTAACCTAAACGTAAAATTAGTCACTTCAATTCAAAATCAAACTGTAGCTTCCACTTAGAATAGTATAGCAAACCAACTCAGTATAATTTGTGAAACACGTTATGTGATTATTATGTGACTATAATGTAGTATTAAGTATTGACAATATGTTATCCAATATTTTAATTACTCGTTAAAATGTAACTAACAACTTATTCCGTTTCATCACTCCAAAAAACAACCACTAAATAGTCCGGGAGCCCGGTCCTAACTTATCAAATGTACTTATTTTGATATATTTTAGATACGATTTCTTTGGTGTGGCGGAATGGAATAACGGATACTTCTAATGCTTAACAACCTAACCTATTTAGCTCAAGTTATTATTGTTTAAAGTTTATATTGGCACGTGGTCTCATACATACATTTGGCAATGTTGCCGTGAGTGGCAGCCTAACAATTTGATAGTTGCCACCTTAATAGTTCTAAAATTTGTCTAAAAAAATTTAAAATGAGTGTGTGATTGTAAAATGAGTTTTTAATTGATTGAGCAAGTGACGTCATAAGCTTCTATTGATATTAATAAATCTGTGTAGAAATCGCGTTTCGACAGCTCTTAAAAAGTATTTGGGTGTTGTCAACTGTCAAATTGTAGCCAGTGTGTACATTATTTTAAAGTTTCAGTGTACACATTTTCATTGACTGTGTTGGAATCTTAAAATAGGTTACTAAAAAAACTATGATATTTTGTATTAATAGGGTATAATCTGATTTATTTAGTAGTAATGCGGCTAAGATACACTTATATGCTTAAACTAATTCCTTAAACTATGTTAGTAAAGATATTTATGGATCCACAGTCATATAAAGATTTGTAAGTGTAACTTAGCTTTAGAGTAAATTTATAATTTCATATAAACTGATTTTATTTTCACTTAATAAAATGGTTATTATGTTATATTGTTGTTTTATTATATTCCAACTGACGTCATTACCAAAAATATTTAACCCATTAGGGACTACAACAACCTCTTTTTATCACATTAAAATCATCCTTTGACAGAAAGTGATAGCGAAATCAACTTTTAGAAAACTAGTTTAATGAAGGAATTATGTTACATTAATAGGTTTACTTCATTAATTCACCTTCTACTTCACGCTCAAACACTATTGTATTAAGGTCTAGCAAGATATTACTGTGTGTACGAACTTTCAATCTGTATTTTTATATAGGATATCCCAAAAACATTTGTAGCAAATGCAACAGAGTTGCATACAAGGGGTTCCTTACTGAAATAGGTATTGCCATAATATCACCACCAGTTGGGTGGGGGGCGTTGAACCAAGCAGGGAGAGGGGAGGGCGGTCGGAGGAAGTAGTGTCGTTGGATGCGCCCCGATCTGATGGTTAACGAGGTGTAGGGCCCTTTGAAGTAAAGCTGGAAAGTAAAAAACAATTGGATATTCATTAGACGTAAAAGAAAAAGTGTACCTACTTGACATATGGAGCTGAAAAATGACGGGATTAATTTACGTAGGAGACGTTAGCTAAGTACAGATTTTATTTTTGACAGAGGCGAGAAAAGGGGTTTTAGATCCCGGTCTATCACATCGGATTAGTCTAACTTCAACTTATTAAAAATAACTATTTTCTATTCTTCTATTACTTATTTCAAGCAACATTTTAAATTGAAAAATCCGTCTGCCTTAGATGTAGGGATCTTAAAAATTTAATTTAAAACCATCGGAATGATACTTACGGAAAGGGAGGGTTCATCTTCAGTCACCGCGTCACTGGGCTCATTCGTGGACAAACTGCAAACATTTTATTTAACATAAAATATAATACGGTATTTATCGAGAAGTCATGGTGGCATGTGGGGCAGACCAAGGAGAGTTGTAACAAATCAATATCTCTAAACGTATGACAGTTTATCGAGCTAGCAACTTCACGAATTCGTTGTATTTTAGACTTTCTACAGTTTGCGTGAAATTGTCAGCTCGCTGTCATAGGTGCAAAGAAATCGGCTTTGTTACAACTCTCCTCGGTCTCCCCTACTATGCGCTTCTTGGCGGGAATGTAAAGCGTCATGACCGTATCTAAAATATGTCTTTAGCCGAATATTATTGTAGGTGTAAGGTAATGGTGGATTAGTCTATAGTGAATAGTCAATATCTTTATTGCATTCCATGTTGTACATAAGGTCTTAACACACAATCTATAGTCTCAAACATAGACCCGGTTTGGGCACAGCAACATTGTGTTTTACAAACATTTATTTATTAATTCGGCATGCATATTAATGTTAAGAACTTCAGAAATATTGAAAAATCTTAGTTTTAACTGAAAGTACCTACTTGATAGTCTAGATAGGCAAATAAAACAAAGTAGTGCTAGAAATGGAACTTACATAAACTTATTCACAACTTTGGTGATATCTGTTTGCAGCCTTTCGTTGTCCTTTTTAGCGTCTTCCGATTCGTAGTCCGATACATCTTCGCTATTTTTCATCGGATCGTCTTTTTTCACCCTTGGATTTGATAACTTTTCGAATCTTTCCAATCTGTAATAAACAATAACATGGAAAATAAATGAAGAAATTAATAAAAAGGATGAAGAGGAAATGCAGGTGGACAAAAACGAAGCTGCGAATCAAATTCCTCTAAGATTCCTTGCAGACTACAGAATTTTATTCGGCCGATAATTGGGCCCGAGTCTAATTTGTATGAAGAATCGGCTAATACCAATGTGCGCACTTTCATACCTGTACTGATTAAAAGCCCGACCCAACTATCGGCCGACAAAAAGTCTAGTCTGCGGCTAGGCTACGGATACAATAAAAAGCAATGTCCATTAGGAATCCTACCTACTGGTTACAAATAAAAAAGTTCCTTCGAGCCGGATTTGAACCAGCGACCTATGGATATCAGTTACAGCCAGCTACAGTCCACCGCTCTACCAACTGAGCTATCGAAGGCTTGGCTACGAACTCTATAAGAGGCAACACTTGTCTAAAGTGTTATTTAATCGAGTTCCAATTAGTGACCATTGTTATTATAATAAAGAGAAAGGTAAATTAAGTAGTTGAAGTTTATTCAATTTGTTAGAACTTTGTAACAATAGAATTTCTAGGAACCAAGCAAACGAGGGATTTTCGAAATAAAGGGGGATTCTTTCAGAAAAGGTCGATTCTTTCAGAAAAGGTCGCCTCCATGCAAATGAAAATCGCAAAAAAAACAAGTAGCTAGTTAGGTAAATATGTATTTTTCAAGATTTTTGTTTCGTTGTACATGAGGAGTAGGTACTTAATGTAACATGCAATTTATTACAAAAAAGAGACACAAATACCCTTTCAAAGTAATAAATCATTTAGGAATCGAGATGTCTCACGTCCTCTCGTAACGCATTTGGATGAAACCATAAAAAAATCTCCTTCGAGCCGGATTTGAACCAGCGACCTATGGATACCAATTGATTCCAGCTACAGTCCACCGCTCTACCAACTGAGCTATCGAAGGCTTGTAGAAATGCACAATTTATCGCTACACATTCGAACCGAAATAGAAAGCCCACCCAGACCCAGTTGTTTACGCAACTTGATACGCAGTTACTAAGGGGTCATCCATAAAGTACGTCACACGTAAAGAGGGGGGGAGGGGGTTGACAAAGTGTGACATGGTGTGACAAGGGGTGGGAGGGGTCCTATGTTTATTTATTCATTTATTTATTTATTTTCGTGACATCACATTTCAATTGTTTCAAATATTTGATATAATGTTGATTTCATATAAAAAAATACTTAATTTAAATGGAAATAAAACTAATTTCGGAACTGCTGTTAATTTAATATTTTTTTGAGACAAATGGAGGATTTAGTCCTGTAATTCCCACGCTGGCCGGATGGGTTGGGGAGGCATATTATTATCATTTAGGTATTTAAGTAATCACTTCTCAAGTAGGTAATGTAGCACCCAAACTCTGTTACTACGCTAGAGGTAGCGGGTTTCATTTCTGTTTATCTGATTGAACATTCGTACTTAGTTACTACCTATAGGTACATCGATTGTGTAACATATTAATTACTTACCTACCTAACTGATTAATAGCCAAAACTTGCTTGTGAAAGGTCAAAATAATGGTTATCTCTTGTTTGTACACAAGTTGAGTAACTTTATNCATATTTAAAGTGGCGCACGTGGTTGTGACACAAAAACTGCTCACACAATGTTTGGTGTTCAAAATCAAAAATGGTAATTATTATTGATATAAATTTTTAACAGTCTTATATAACATGTATTAATCTTGCATAATTACTGTAATATTTATCAAAATAACATAACATCTCTTCAGAAAAAAATATTGTATGTCCAAATCCGGGAATCTCACACTACACGGTCCGTGACATTTTGGACTTGTAACTTTTTTTAAATATTCTTCTAATAGTTTTATGATAAAAATGATATTGGGCCTAGTTAATAGAGGTATTTTACTAAGTAAATTAATATACAGTGCACTGATTTTCTTTAAAAACATATGCTATTCTTACATCTCACACAAAAATGCGTAAGAATAAGAATGGCCCTTATTCACTTCATAATTAGGTAGGTACCTAGGTAATTAATAAATATACCGTGGACAAACTTAAATGATATCGCATTTAACGTAAAAAAGAGAGTAAACGTCGCAGGTAACTTATCTCTAATTACTTAATTTTGGTGTCGAGACCTTCGGACCATGCTTGGGGACCGAATGCTAAATTACTGTTTCGGACCATTTCCCCTAAATTAATTAAAATTTCGGAAAATCTAAATGCTGGCTCTTTCCTTGCACAAAGGCTTAGTATTGCCATTCAGCGAGAAAATGCAGCCAGCATTCTCGCCCTTTTGCCTCACGGACACACTTTTATTTTTGAGTAAAATAAGTTTATATTTTTATTTTGTGTAGAGTTAAGTTTGCCTTAGTTTAAAAAAACTGTTTATTGTAAATAAAGTTGAATACATTAATATTTAATTTGATTACTTAAATGACGCCTTTAAATTATCTATCCAATTACAACGAAGGTCTTGTCACTGTGTGGTGAAAACTCAAGTACCTACCTTTCCTAACTTATTTATCCATCCTTTGTGTTTCTTTCACTGAATAGAATTCACTTTGACGCACAGCCATCTTAAATGGCAATGGTATGGTAATTATGTCTAATTGAATACTTTTAATGGTACTTACTTCCTGATGCTATCTCCCACTGCATACTCGAAATCTTCCTCCTCCTTTTGACTCCCAATCCTCAGCTTTAACGCGTTCAAATCCTCAGTATTCAAATCCAACACCCAGAGCGGTGTCTTTTCCACCCCTATCTCATACGTGGGTTGAATTTTAACTGAACTCAAATCATTATCATCAAATTCATCAAACCCAGTCAAGTCTGCAATATGCTTCACTAATCCTCCAACGAATAAAATGTAGTTGAGTAAAAATAAAGTGGCTAATCGAAACATATTGCCTGGTGTAAAGGCTAATAATGTTTGTGAGAAAATGAAACTGCGCACGTCTTTTTTCTTCACGCTAATTTTCATAAGCACCTGTGTAAATAATACGTTGGAATGTACATATTTATTTAATAGAAAAACTAGGTACGTCAGTCAGTAGTCAGTGCAGTTGTTTTTGTCGTCAACACTCAGCAGTCGCGGGTTCGACTCTCGTCCGGTGCGTAGGTGCGAAACTGCTCTGTGGTACATCTTACTCACAAAAAGCTTGTATAATAGCGCTTGTGGCAAGAGGTATAAATAAAAGTATACAGTTTAAATTACAAACATTAAATATATTTATTTATATTTTCATATTACATACAAAAGAATATTTTTTGTATACAATTTCACTTCAATCCTAGCAATGGAATGTTACCTACTTATTTAAATTATTATATAGATAAAAAACAAGTAAAATTATTTATTTCAATTAAAAAGAATGCAATTTTTTGAGACAAAGTTCTCACAATATAAAAACAATCATTGAAATTTTTAATATGTAATGATCATCACGAATATTCTTAAGACTAAGGAAAGAAAGGAAATATTTTAGTAATAAATTAGGAAACAAGGTTGCAAGTTTGTAATCTTGATACAGGGTGTAAGGTTTATAGAAAATGATACCATCTGACCACTGTCCTAAACATAAAATTATCTTTATCACTCTTATACGTACGTACGTATTGTCTTGTTAGAGCCATATTGTTTGTTATTGAAAAATATTTCAATAATTTACGAGTTTAAGAGGTTTATTTTCATGATCTGATCTCACTGTATTTTTTTGCAAACATGTCCTTGACTTATTGCACACTGTATAAACTGTTACAGTTGAATCCATTAAAAAATGTGGCTTATGTAGTAGCAAATAAGTACAGCAATGCTTTGGCAAACTGAATTATCTCGGAGCCTCCTAATTTGGACTCTCCATACACTCTATCCACGAATGTGATTGGCACCTCTCCTATGGTGTATTCTAGCTGCCTTGCCCTGGAAAGAAATAAGTTAATGTAAGTACATCAATAGTTATCTTATCTAGTTGTAAATAGATGCAAATTTGCAACAAAATATAACATGTTTACAGTTGTAAATCAACAAATTTTTCAACTTATTGAATCAATGTCTTTCCTCAATTGATTTGAAACCTATATAATATAATAAAGTTTTAAAGTTGAAAATCTAGTGAAGAGATCGGCTTTTACCCGTGGTCCCCCCAACATGTCCCCCTGGTGGGTCCACGGGTAATTTTTTTTACCCGTTGTCCCACAGTTCTGAACAGTGTTTGCCAGTGGGTCTACGGGTAATTTATTTTAACCATGGTCCCACCGCATTAGTGTGTACTAGTAAAGTTGTAAATAAATCTTTTTGTTTGTTGTAATTTACTGTACAAACTTTTGGTAAAAAAAATGGTAAAAGTAGTAAATTATACCATAATAATTATGTCATTGTGATTATAGGAAACATATTTTTTTTTTGTTATAACTATTTTCAAAAGTATTTGGTGATTTACCTTATAATCATTTCCATCTGGAAGACATATCCTTTGGAGACACAGCTGTCAATCAGCTTTTGTAGCACATCCTTTTTGTATAGCCTGAAACAAACGAAAATATTGAAATCAAAAAATCAAAATCATCTTTATTTGTTTAGACTAATTAAATTAGTACCTACTTGCAAATCGTCAAATGCTCTTAAGGAGCCTATACATGTCTCAATTCTTTTTTTTGCCCTACCAGCGCTTCAAGACTTCAAACATTTGGCAAGTGCTGAGAAGAAGCGCCGCAAAACAATTGACTATAATCTCTGTGTCTGTCTAGAGTTTGGCCTAGTTTTCTATACTATATTTTTAGTCCTAGTTCACAAACAATTGTCACAATTTTTTGTCCTCATTCTCGACCTAGTCTATTATTGTTAGTCCTGTTGAACAAGTTCAGACTCTTAGCTGTGCCACTCTTGTGAAGTTGGATTATCAAATAAAAAATATTGTGTAATCTTAACAAATAAATGGTAAGACATGGGTCTTAACGCAACGTTTATTAATGAGTTACATTATGCACTTGGCTTGATGTTTCGGCTGCTATGCTGCCTATATTTTAGTTGAAATGGAACGCGAAAGTTTAAAATCTTATATCTTAACAAACATTTATCAATTTGATTAAGATAATAATTACTACAATCCTGGCTGTCATAGTCAAATTCATAATCATACTTTAGATTGCTTTGGATTATTTCCATAAATTAATCCAAGTTAGTCTCACCTGAAAGAACCCGTAAGGTCCGAAGCACCGGGCCTGAGCAGCAGCTGTGTGACGAAATTGGCTCCGCGCGATATCAGCTTCCTCTTGAAGTCCCAGCCGTGGACCCCACCACCGTCCTTATACCGTGTGCCCGAGACCAGGTCGTAATCATGCTCACGTTGGAGTTCGATGAATTTCGGAATGAATTTTGGCTAAAATGAAGCATTATGTTCAAAAAGACCCTGCTTATAAAATCTTCTTTACCTGGCCCTTTCCCATTTTATTTGGGGCGGCCCTCCGTACCTACCCTACTTGTAAAATGTAAGTAAACAACTACCTTCAACACAGATAAAAATGATAAAAATTACTTACATGATGACTCAAGTCGGCGTCCATAATGATAATGAAGTTGCCGGTTGCATGCTGTATTCCATGAATGTACGCTGTACCCAGACCTAGCTTTTTCTCTCTCGGACGAAGCACAATCTTCGATGAGCCATACAACTTTTGCAGCTGTTTAGCTACTTCTAAGGTACCGTCAGGGCTCCCATCATCAATAATGATCACCTCGAAGTCATAGCCGCTGCGAAATAACCCAAAAAATTAGAAATAATAAAGAAAACCGCACAAGTGCAACAGACGACCAGCACCATAACAAACAATGTTGATTCCGTGTTTTATGCATTACCTTGTATCCAAATATTTCATGATAAGCCATATTATGATGGGCAAGTTCTCCCTTTCATTATATGTAGGCAGTAAAATTGAATATTTATCACTTTTTGTGATTTCAGAATCCAAAAGTGTTGGTGGTGCCATGCTGTCAAATATTTAAATGTCATTTTTGATGGCGAACCACAGATATGGATTAGAGTGGCGAACGAAATGAATTGTCATTCGTTTTATTTTTTAATTGGAAATCAAATTTGAGCCGAAAATTTTTTTTTGTATTTCTGAACGAACATGTCGCTATGTTCTCCGTTTAACGCAAAGTGTGTTTCAGTGTTTTCAGAAAAAAATATAAAATACAATATATCTGTACAACGAAACGTAGCAAGAATAACTTGTCAAAATTTTTGACAAGTGAAGTAGGTGGATTTCGTATAAAATAATCGAATTATTCATAAAATTACATAAATTATTGCTATTGCATGATGTTTCATGTTAATAAATATTTCTAAATTGGATATCCAAGAGCAATATAGCTAAAATGTTCCGTTAGCCTTCAATATTAGAATGGAATCTCAGTGAAAGTGATACGTTGCACTTGCAACTAGGAATACCATTTGCAAACATCGACAAATTCAACAAAATGGGAAAATCAAGCAAAGTGGTCATCTGTGGGATGAAAGGCGTGGGAAAGACGGCAATTTTGGAGCAGCTTATTTACGGAAACGTCAGTTTAAAGTCGTGTTTCTATCCAACCATCGAGGACATCTATGTGGCGAATATTGAGACAGATCGGGGCTCGAAGGAGCGCGTCTGCTTCTACGACACAGCTGGCTTGGAGCCCCCGCTTACAGGCGAGTTGAAAGGTTTACATCTTACTTGAATATTAATACAGAAATCATATCACACCATCATAGGAAAGGTTTTATTTCTTAGAATAAAGGTATATTGGTGTAAATTGGTATAATAAACTCTTTGGATCATGGTTTGCATGGTGATAGCATGCTTATATTCTAAATATCATTGCCAGACACCAAAATTTGGATGAAAAAGATGAGTTTTTTATATAAAATATTTATTACTTTATCTGGTTACTAAATGAAAGTGGACCACAAGCAAAACACCAGATCATGCTAAGGGCTAAAGGCACCAGTTTATAAAAATAATTTACCAATAATTATGTTAATACAGTTAATTAAACTTCATATTTAGTTGTATTCTGGGTTTTACTAAACCAAAAATATAAAACCTAAAACTAAATGTGGCTTTTCCCTGATCCAAACTGGAAAATAAAATTTAATTTCTTAAATCACAAAGTAAGTGCTATATTACTTTTATTTTATAATTTTTTAACTCTGTTTAAAATTTTTGCTGTCTGTTTTGTATGCAATAATTTATTTTAAGAGTAGTAATAAGTAATATCTACATTAAATATGTTTGTAATATAAATTCCAGAAATATTCTTTCTTTCTCTATGCATTAAGCACATATTTCTATTTTCTATTGTCAACTTCTTCCAGGTCCACCGCAGTCTCCGACGATGCAGCTAACGGCCAACCAGGTGCTGCAACGACACTACCTCGGCTTCGCTGAAGGGTTCGTCATGGTTTATGACACCACAAAGCCGGAATCCCTCGACGTTCTGATGTACTTAAAAAAGGATATCGATAGGAATAAAGATAAGAAAGAGGTATGCTTTATGTTATTAATCCATAATCAGGCACTGGTGGCCATAGAGCCTGTATCAATTTAAACCTTTTGTTGTGAAGAAACAGTTGAAAACCAATTCCTTTTTTTTAAAGCCTGGTTATGGGTTGTGATTAATATAGTATAGATTAATGAATACAAATGTGCTAAATCTCTTAATAACATCCCTTTTTCTCACAAACCTCTGTCACAACATATTATAAATTTTCAGTAACTTTTGACCTTATGTTAAGTGAATAGGGCTTATATTCTGATCGCAACATATTAGCTAGAGCCCTATAAAGAGTTAAATCAATTCTCTCAGACTCTTTTTATAAATTGCAGAATGTGTGATGTTTTTCTGTAGTAGATATCTATGCCTCTCTGAATACTACCTAAGTCTATCAATTCTTTGCATGTCCCTAGGTGGTAATGCTAGTCATCGGCAACCGTATGGGCCCTGATGACGTCAACAGCTTGGAAAACACATGCTCTAAAGCCGCTAACTGGTGCTCTCGAGAAAAAATCCGTCATTTTGAAGTGTCAGCCATGGACAGACCATCTCTCTACGAACCCTTCATCTATATGACGTCACGGCTCAACCCAGTGCAAAATAAGACCGCGTTCCCACAGCTTAGTACGCTAAGCAAGCTGACGCAGAAGAATAATAAGAGCGAAGCCATGTAACGGTACGTTTTGAGTCTATGCCCTTTCTGCTACCATCCTTAAGTAGCACGAATTCATCTAATCACTTGTCGCTTTTAAGTTTTTTTGTGCTACAGGGTGTACAATTTACAGCAGATAAAACCACAGAAAATGACAAATTACTTCAATTGAGTCTGAAACTTAAGTATTATGCAAAAAATATGAAATCAAATGTTTATTGAATAAGTAATAGCACTAATTACGTGATCTAAAATAACTGCTGTTTTCTGCCACACCCTGTATTGATATTAATAAGATCTCGCGAACAAAGTGTCAATTAGTATTATTTCTGTATTTATTGTATTTGAGATGGCTCTCTGTGACAAATTCTTTCAATTTATTTATACCTGGTGCCGAAGTTATAAAGTTGAAGATGCGTTAAAAATTGTATAAATGTGTGGGTTGACTTAATGAAATTTAAGCTAATTTAAAAAATTCTAAAAACATATTTTCAGTACAGTGCAGAGCCAATTATCGTAATCAGCTATGAAGCTTAATCGAGCCTTTATAAAATGCTGTCTAATTTTTTTTATTGTAAAAATATTCTTCAACCAAATCTAGAATTTGTATAGGTAATATTGTATGTACTTAGAATGTAGACTATCTACACTGTCAGAAATCTCATTAGTTGTAGTAATTTTTATGTAGAAATTATTTTAGTTTTTGACTCTGGTTTCGTGACTGGAATACTTTACGAGTATGAAATGTATAATACTCGTACCTTGTTAAAAGCTCGGTCGCCGAGCACGTAGAATTTCGTCCAATGACCCCAAGCTACCCATCCTTTTCGCTCGTGCGTAATTATGTTGCTGTCGCGCTCGCACACTCACTGCGGCCGCCCGTCGCACAGTCGCGACAGCAATATAATTACTGTACACGCGAGCGATAAGGATGGGGTCATTGGACGAAATTCTACGTGCTCGGCGATCGGACTATAGTTACATGAAATTCTAGCATCTTTATGTTGTCGTATGAAACAAAAATGTATAGCCTGATGGACTGTTGACATAAATTAAAAGTTAGAGCCAGTGGTATGCATTAGTCGACTCTAAATCAAATGAGTGTGATTTAAATTGGCTTGACATTCAGAAGCCAGGGTCCCGCCCCTTTTATTGAAATTTACAATGTATAAACTTTTATGCAAGTATTTTAACATTATACAATTTAAGACCACCAAAAACAAGTACCGTTTAGTACGACGTCGCTTATGAACGACTCACCGGTTTTAGCGACGCATATTTTCGGTTGATTTGAAGTTACTTCTTTAGTACCACGTTCGTATAGTAGGTACGACGTAAATCATCTGTCCCTTGAACGTAGTTATAATGGGATTCCATTCATCATCAGGTCATTTAGTCACCATTGCAAAGGCATGATGCTCTTTAATAATTAAGAGCCAAATAAGGGATTTAGCCTACACTCCCTATGCTGGCCAGACTGGTTGGAGGCGGCCTGATGTTCGCATATTTGTGCCTTACTCGCTTTTTACGATATCCACGGGTAAAGTGGGAATGGTCCTATTCCACTCTCACAAGTATAATATAAATGAACATGACCGCAATCGCACCTGATGTTAAGTGAGATGCAGTCTAGGATGGTACATATCTGCCCTGTAAGTGCCTATTCACTCGCCTTGAAAAGGCCCGGATTATAGTGTTCAGGAAAGACAGCAGCAGGCAGCGAGTTCCAGTCCCTAGCTGTTCGCATTATAAAAGAGTCATCGAAACGCTTAGTGCGAGCTGGTCGAATGTTGACAAATACTTGCAAAAAAGTTTTTATGTGAACATTATGAGTTTATCATCAACATCATCTCATCAATGGTGAATACGGGGCATAGATTAAAAGCTAGAATTTATTAGGTGGTACTTAAAGTATAATTTTAGTGTAACTCAGATTTTTAGGTACTTAAGTGCAATACTTACTTAATTAGTATATTTAGCGTTGACGCATCCCTCCTACGATGTAGTATTAGAACTCGAATTTTATTTGTATAGCACCTGATTTTCTAAATGTTCAAAAATGTATGCAGTCGCTGGCACATCAAACTAAATGAAATCTTATGTATAATTGTGATAAGTGCTATTTTTCCAACTCAAATGTGTAGTCCGATGTGCTAGCGACTGTACTTGACTAATGTTCTCATTATTTTCATTATAAATGACATTATTTTGCACCTAGTCTAGTCCTTAGTATTGTCTTCACAGCTTTTTCAAGTAGGGAAAAGCCTTTTTAAATGATTATCTAGTTTAGATTGACTCTCTATTTTAATGTAGTTAATTTTATGTTTATTATTAAGCTTCATATCTTGTTAGAACTGCGATGGATTGTTTTTTTTTTTATGCCAGAAGGAATATACAATATTCTGCACAGAAGTATTAAGTCGCGCAGCGAGAGTCGAGGCGAGTACATAGTCATACTCACACTGATGTAATATTTGAATGCAGAACTCATACATTCAAGTTCAAATATCGAATACACTAGCTACCTCGCTCTTGCTAAATATGTGCAATCGAGACAGAGAAAGCACTGTCAGTCAGACTACGCAACACATCATTGCGACAAGTGTAAATATAGAAATACAAATCTTTGCTTGCGTTTATCGCCTCAACTCTCGCTGCGCGACTTGTATCAAACATTATTATGAACTTTTATTTTATTAAAATAGAAATATAACTTTATCCTCCTTTTTTGACTAGTATCCGTATATTAAACACGGGTTTATGTTTTGCTTTTTTTTTATCGAAGATTAAAAGTATGTATTACAAAATGATAACATCGCAACGTATTGCGATGAGCCTGTCGCGTGGTTTTCTTATGAATATCAGATTGTTTTTTCTGTAAATATTGTATACTTGGCTTTAATTTATGTTTGTATTAGCTGTTTTCTCGAACTGTTCTTTTAAAATACAGGACGTCCCAAATTCAGACACCACAGATAGGTAGATGTGCTTGAGACGTCTATTAAGTCCATTTAAAAAAAAAACAATATCTGTTTATTTCAAAACTCATCTAACTTTTCTATGGACATATTAAGCTTATTCGAAGCATCTTAGGCCCAGCTACCTCCAGTGTCAGTTGACGTGCTAATTTTCGGACACCCTGTATAAATGAGGCCGTCAGCGCAAAAGTGGCCTAAGCTTAACATATTAGTATAGAACCTAAACTTGGTTAGGCCACTTTTATACTGCTTTGTAGGCAAAAACAATGCTCGCAAAAAGAATGTTTACAACGCCCCATCTCTTAACTAAGGGTGAAACTAGGGATAGGCCGCTTTAGCATCAAAATTTATTAGGTTTTGAATAAATTGCAATAGATAAGTACGAATATGAAGTGTAAGTGGGCGATCTATAACCAATTGGTATTCCAATAAAATAGAATTCGTAATTAGTTTTTCAGCCTTTTAGTTCATGTAGACTGTAGAGTTACTTATTACATAACTTTAAGTTCGAAAAAGCTATGCTTGGTGTATTTTAATTTAATTTTGACAAAATGTATATTACTTATGAATTTATTATAGATGTTGTTACATGTTTATTGTATGTGTGTTGTATAATAAATTATGTAAGTACGATAATTAATATATGCGACTTATGAATATGAATTTTATATGAAATGTAAATTGCTCTAAAATAAAGCTATTTATTTAAAATACTTTCGTTTTACTTCAAGTCCGTTACGTTTATTGTTTTAATATAATTATACAGGGTGTTAGGTAAATGGGTATATGAGCCGACACTAGCCCATGTTAACATGGTCATATAAATGGTATGGTGAAGTCAGAAATTTGATATCATCATTTTAATTTTTTAAATTTTCATACAAAATACATTTTACAAAATCCGATTTGTATGAAAATTAAAATAATTAAAATGAAGATATCAATTTTCTGACTTTACCATACCATTTATATGACCATGTTAACATGGGCTTGTGTCTTCTCATATACCCATTTACCTAACACCCTGTATAGTATAATTAAAGGGCGAACGCGGGGAGGTGTGCCGATTAAGTGGGAGGGAGAGTCGCATTCCAGCAAGGTACGTAGTTAGCACGATCGGATTTTAGGCCAAATTTTGTGCTTAGGGATACAAATAAAACACCAAAATCATTTAGCAATTTTAATCTTGCGTTTCGAAAGTTACAATCTTAAGTTTAATATCATCGTGTACTACGCTAGTGGGATATCATCCCGGAGTCTACTCAAACAATAATACTGGGGCCGATTCCGGGTACCACCTCCTAGCCCTATCTCTTTCTAGCCTAGGAAAATGAAAAGAGACATGCTTAGGTATGTGAAGTTAGAACAATAGTGATCCAAGTCACATTTTTAGCTTTCTGAGAATGTGACTGTTGTCAAAATGCGCTGGTAACAACTTTCGTTTTAATTACAGTTGGATCACTATTCCTTAACTCGGCAATCAGCAGTCTTTTTAACGTTTTAGATGTAGATAATAATCTAATATCTTTTCATATTTAGAACTTTTCTGTAATATAAGCTAAAAAGAAAATAGAGTTTGGTTAAAAAGATAGTGTACACGGGATCGGACCCCTTTGCTCTCTTTGAGCGCTTATCAACTACTATCGCGATAATCTATCTGGAAAAGCTGGGTAGGCACTGGGTATAAGGCCGGTACCACACGTTGGCCCCAACATTGGCTCCAACATTAGCCCCAAACACTCGTTTAGGCTGATTTTAGTGTCACGCGGACTGTCAGTGCGGATCGCTCCGCACAGCCGATCTGTATGAACTGCTAGGGAGCGGAGCGGTTCCTCCAGACCGCATTACTCTAAAACGCTCCCTAGAAGTTTATACAGATTGGCCGTGCGGAGCGGGTCCGTACCGGACGGTCCGCGTGACACTAAAACCAGCCTTAACGTGTGGATCTAGAAAATAGCTTCTCCCAACGTTTGTGCCAAAGCTATTGAGACAAGTGGTATTGGGACCAATACTGGGGCCAACCTATGGAGCCGGGCTTAGCCAAAGTCGAGAAAAATATTTGTAATAGACAGCTCATTTAATATTTTGTTCAGTTATCGATTGAAATTGATTTTGTGATAAACCGTCAAGTTTTACCACATTTTGTTAGTTACGGGAAAATGTTGCCTTTGTTTGGAAACAGTCTCGCCATTTTAGAAAAAATAACTAATAAAATACTTTCAAAAAAATAGTTTTTTGTAATTTTCTTTGGCATGTGCTTACCGAGCCTTTACATTTAATTTGTGTTGTGTTAGTACTTATATTTTATGTATAACGATATCAGTTGTATAATATGGCATTACAGTATAATTGTACGAGTTGCTGATTGATATCTACACTCAAACGGTTGCCATTTGTGAAATGTTTATGTATTTAAATAAATGTAGTTATAATATTAAATTACTATTATAAAACACAGGGTTTAAGGTAAATGAGTGAGAGAATCGCGCGCATAAGCATAAGTAAATAAAGTTTAATCGCGTTGAAGAATTATAGAACTTTCCGAGGTTTTTTTATGCATAACAAGGCAATTAATGTTTGCACAGCTGTAATGTTATTTTTCACGTTTGTATTAGTTTATAAAAATACACGCCATAATTATAATTATATTTTATACTTTTATACAAGTCGATACATGTAGATAATGTATAAATAATAAGAAAAAAAATATATAAATATCAAATAAATATTGTATCAAGAATACCTAAGCATTTCACAAGAGACAATAAGTTATTAAGTAAGTAATAATCCATCGAACCATGTTTAATGAATGAAGATAAACACTACAATAATCGGTGAAACTACGCTATGGATTAAAATCGGAATAATTTCGATTTCATCGTCTCTTTTACATGCCTAATCGATCTTCTTACATTATGTACATTGAAAGCTTCCAGAACCTGTCGCGTGTCTTTCTTTCAGAAAGTTTTCACGTTTTTACCACTCAGTTGTATATTTCCAACAATATTACAGTTTTATATCACAGTGGGGATAACAATATATCCGTGCACTGGACGAAATATAATACTGATAAAATTTTTGGAAATATAAAAATACTTTTAAATATCATGTAACCTATTTGATCCGAAATTTTAGAATTTCCCAAACCCGCAAAGTTAGGAGGCAGAAAGTGTATAACTGTATAATTGAAACAGAGTTACTACATTTTATAAAATGTTGTTTTCATTGTACATTGTAATTATGCGTATTATTTTTCACGTAGTAGTGCAGGTCGACCTTATTTTAGACTAAGTAACAACTAATATGGCGATGTACTCTATTCCTAGATTTATATTTTATTTTATTTAAAGTCAATTTAAGGCCGCCATATTAATTTCCCAAGATATAGGTAGATTATAATAATATGAGATATGTTGAGTTGACAATACTTACAGTGCAAAATTAGGACAATTTGCAAACTTATGTTATCATCATATCATTGAACAAGTAGTGGATTGATTTACTACTAGTAAATATACGTGTGTATTTGTCGGTAATTCATTTAGCGTTAAATCCTGAAGTTAGTTTATCAAAGTTACGAGAAAAATAATTAAGTAGGTACGCTGATCGAATACTGATTCAATACTCAAACTGTTGAGTGTCTGAATTTTTGCGTTATTTATTTAAATTATTTGTTGTATAATTATTATATTTATATACACAATCCGCCTCCCCGTAGACATGTCAACGTGTGCGTTCTACGCGTGTCGATTGAAACTTAGTATTTAATAAAAGCTAAACTAATGACTAGCATCGAACTTCTCCTAGCAATTTAGTAACTAACATTCCAACCGCTGGTCAATCTGAATCAATATGATGCGAATCATTGACTCCTGAATAAACTGCCTGATTTGATACCTACACCAAAAGAACAGAAGTTTTCCCATAGCAATTTTAAAAAATCATAACCTAATTCCAATGTAATTTGGTATCAATCTGATAGGGTTTAAATATGTTTCGCTACTATCATTTTAATGAGAATAGTATAATGTCTTATAATTGTCATTGATTTTATGAAAGTTTTTGATAAAGTTTTTCTAAACAACTTTGCCCTATAGCTAGGATTAGGATTGTCTGTACTCTTTTGAAATTAATTTCTGAAACTATGAAATCTTCAGTTTCAAGTTGACCAGCGTCAATACGAGGTTAAAGCATTCATCGTGCCCAGGAACATAACTTTCCTCAGAGCCTATTTTTAAACCAACCGAATTTAACATGCTTTCCTTGCAGGACTATTCGTCGGAGTATTTTAAAAATACAATATATAAATTATAATATAAATGTCGAAAGAAATAAGTTTAATGAGTTTATAAATAGTATAAACCAGAATATAATATAAAAACCGGATTAAAATAAGTAGATAATGTAATATAATTGAAATATTATTGTAAGTAGGTTGTTTTTATTCCTGCAAAAATACTTTCACCGTTACACCGCACCTTTCGTATCAACCAACATTTTTATGGTATAACTCCTAAGCGTTTCGCTAAAAACATCTATACAAAGCTACTTTTTTTGTGACTTTAACGATTTGCTATAAGTATTAAAAAATCTTGAAGTTATTTTATTCTTTGGTTATATAATTCGAAAAACAATGTTTCAGGATTAGTCTGTAAATAGAGGATAATTTATATTCACCATATTTTTAAGTAACTGACCGAATTATAGGTAAATGATAATAAAATAAAAGATATTAAACTAGTCAGAATTCGTGAAATCATAAAATAGCTTTGTACAAATGTTCATCAACAACTTTTTTATTTTTCAACTATTTTAAAGGGCATTAAACGCCGCACGTATTTTTTTATTCATGTATTTGGTGACGATTTTGGTAAAGATAAAAATTACTTATTAAGTAGGTAAAGCTAAGAAATTGCACACAATATTTTTCTGTTCTTGATTGAAATCTAGTTTATTCCAATAAATATGTATGTAATAAAAAATAATTATTCACGAAGTAATGGTTTTCCTAGTTGTAAAATAAAATTATATTAATTATAGTATTGGTTTAGGTCGCCATTATGCAAAACAATTCAAGTTATATTTATGAAAATTAATTATTTATTGGTTTTATACATTTGGTATAAATATAATTTACTAATTTTGGAATATATTTTTTTAGTTTTTGAGGAACAGAAAAATTGTGTGCAAATAATCATTCGCAACAATCGCTATAAATGATCAACAACTTACCGCTAAGTTATACTTAGGTCATACCGTTGGCCGACTTCTTCCATGGCGTCCTAACCTACCTTCAACACATCCCATAATTATTTATAAATTAAAACATTAAAATACGAATTAAATTCAATAAAATTAAGAGTTAATTAATATTAGGCGATCATGCTAATATAATTACGTTAATGCTAATAATAATGTTTGATCTTACCGGAGCTAGAACTCATTGTTTTTAATGTATAAATAACTGATCTATAAACAATATAAGAATATTTGTCGGCCGTTTGGTGTAGTGGTTCAGAACGTGCTACTATGCCAAGAGGTCCCGGGTTCGATTCCCGGCCGGGCAGAAATTGAAATGATGAATTTTAATTTCTGTGACGGGTCTGGGTGTTACTATGTATAATATGTATGTATTTAAAAAAAAAAAAGTATATAAGTAGTATATCCGTTAAGCTAGCACCCATAACACAAGCATTAAGTTGCTTAATTTGGGGCTAGCTGGCGATGTGTGAAATTGTCTAAAGATTTATTTATTTATTTATTTATTTATTTAAGAATATGTTATTGTTCAAGACTCAAACAACAGTCGATACGCAAATCGTAACTTAACCCTCTATAGGGCACATCATGTTGAAAACTGTCATTGGTTTTTGACCTTAGAAGGCTTAAATTATGGTGGCAATATGACAGAGCCCCATAAAAGGTTAAAGTGTCGTAATTCATTGAATTTCATACTCCAAGCGTTACTATTGAGCACCAAACATAAGACATCATAAAAATAAAGTAAACATTCAAAACCAACGGTCATTCGTCGACGACGTCCATCTTGAATGCGGTGGGCTTCCGGCCAATCGGCTTCATCGCCAGTCGGCGGCCGTTTCCGGTGTTGAGTATCTCTTCGTCACTCGAGCTCGAGTCGTCGAAGCGGCCGGACGGACGGATCTCGCCCTCCGAGTCTGAAGACTGCAGAAAAAAATATATAAATGATAACGCGAATATTTGTTGTTGACGCTTTTGTTTGACAACTGTATTTGACATTAAAATATCAGCTGTAGCGCTTTGATTGAGGGAATTGAATTCAAATTATATAATTTTCAGAAGGTTTAGTTACTATTAGTCAAATAAAGTTGCCTTTATCAATCAAAGAAATTGATTTCTGGATGACGAATTCAAGATAGGTGAAAATATAAAAAGTTAGTAAATATAATAATATAAATATGAACATTGTCGTGTTATTTCTACAATGCAGTGGAAATTAAAAATTACCCCAAATTAATAAAAATATAAAATCCCAAACTTTATGTTTGTGCGTAAAAAGTATAAAACTATCTAGAAGCAGTTTTAAAATAACAGCAAGCAAAAGCAAGAATTCTAGTAACAACCAAAAACTTATTTCTAACACTCTTTAGATTAAATAAAACATGCAATTCGATAAAAATCCTTATAAATAAACATCAAGTGGTAGAACATCATTGAGTATTGAGTATTGAACAATGCTGAAGCTAGAAAGAGACGGCATGCTAAAGCGGTTAAAATAGTACGAGTGTGACAGAGACAAACATTTATTTCTTCGGTCTGCTGCGAGCGATGCTAGCTGGCGGCCGCTTGCTCGCTCTCTCTTCGCTGCTATCGACGCCCTATAGAACGCGGTAATTTTTATTTACAATAAAATTAAATATACATAAAAAAAAAATATTACAATGTACCTATCTCTTATAATCTGATTTATAAAGAATATGGCTTATCTGCTTTTGAAGAAGTCTATTTAATAGAATAGTACTGATTTAGTACTTAATTGTTATAGTTCGTTAAAATTTGTTTTAGTTTATTTTTATATGTTTAAGTATAAAAAAGTTAATCAAAGGAAAGAGTATTTACTACATTAGGAACATGTGCTATACTGCTATAATAAGTAGTATTAACAGTTTGAAAAATTCTGAATTCTGAAAATATTTTAAATATGTAAAATATTTATTGCGATATATGTTAAAATTAATATTATTTGTTTTAGTATAATTTTTACAAAATATACACATATAAATATTATGAAAAAGATACTTCGTTCAGGCGTAGCTAGAGTAGGTAGTATTTATTATTCAATAATTGTATTATTTGACGTATTCGTGAATATTATTATGAATAATAGTAAATAAATACTTAAATACCGATTGAAAAATAGGTGCGAGTAACAATTCAATATCATTTAACATTTCATCATGATTAACGAATATTACACATTAACACAATTACTACACACACACCTATACAAACAGTTTTATCTTTTTATTAGTATTCTTTTCATTAGTATTCTTAATAAACGTAGTCATATCATCCTTACCGATTTCCCGCCGTTTGTATTTATCTGTGCACTAATATTACTATTTATGTATGTTTATCTAGACAATTTTATGCAGCTTTTTTATTTTTTTATTTTACCAATGGTCCGTGACCCTCACTCGGCATGGGGCACACTGAAAACCAGCGCCGTGGCCTTCGTCACCGTGGGCCACGGCATATGCTGAGTGGGGTCCCGTTGCAGTGGGCATCTTGTTGGTGAATGGGTGGCACTGCTCAGTTTACTCTTGTTTTTATTTTTTCTTCTTTTATTATTATGTGCCACTGTCATGTCTATGTAATTGCCTGTATTTGTGTGATGTCCACTGTAATAAATGTATCTTTCTTTCTTTCTTTCTTTCTTTCTAACGTAGGTACTACTGATATAAATAATTTCACATCTCCTTTTCTCCACTTCTTTACCCTCACACCATGCACTTCAAAGTTCAAAATAAAACACACTCACGCCTCAATATCTTCTCAAATATTCATTTACTTATTTGAAAAACCATTCAACTAACATTCTCTGTTTCATGAAAATCGCTAGCTACGCCCAAAGTCCGTGCTTACATCGAAGTCTCCAATGGTGAACTTAGTTCCGGCTGCGTCCGCTACCAACTGCGCCGGCGCTGGCGGCGCCGTCTCAGGAGAGAGCACCTACCCAGGTTAGCCATAGCGGTTATTTACAGTAGTAGACTAATGGTGAAGGCAGTTTTTGCACGATCATGACAACAATATAACATGTTAAAGTCTAGAATGTTTTTTGAAGACACGTTACAATATTATGTTTCAGTCCAATCCCAGATACCAACCAAAATCAAATCATTGATGTGAAACTTGCAATGTAATAGCTTGAACATTGCAAGTTTGGTTTCTTCTGAATGATACTAAGAGATGGCGCTGTCTGTATGTTATATTGCGGTATAAAGTTGTGTACTTAAGTAATGAAGTTTTAAATACTTTTTTTATAAAATGTAAAAAGGAAAAACTGCCGTCAACATGAAAACATCAATTTGCCACAGTAAATACTAGCGACAAAATATAGTAAGTTATACATTTGACCTTAAATAGTAGGGATTATATAAACAGTCCACTGCTGGACGTTATTTGGCTGAAACGAAACGAAATATAAACAGTTTTCAACCGACTTCAAAAAAGGAGGAGGTTCTCAATTCGACCCGTATGTTTTTTTTTTTCTATGTTTGTTACGCGATAACTCCGCCAATTATGAACCGATTTGAACAAATCTTTTTTCGGCGTATAGGACGAATTATTAATATTTATGTAGGTATACCATGATTGATACTTCTGGAGTCGGTGCCAAGATTATGAAACATGTAAAGTTTGCCTGCACCGACTCCAAAAGTATCAATCATGGTATACCTACATAAATATTAATAATTCGTCCTAATAAATAAGTAGGTAATTAGTAATGATTTTTCTACGTTTTAGTGTAGGTTTTTTGGAGTCGTTTTTTTTTTTTTTATAAAATTTTATTGAAACAAAATTTAATGAGCAAGTATTATACTTTGCCGCTAATATTACATAGTGTAGCAATAAAGAGGGTGTTGCTAGCGAATAGTTAAAGTTAGCACCAGTAAAACTAGCAAAGACAAGAAATACAAACAAAATAATATATTTTTAACGTACGAAGTAAGTAGGTGCCTACTTCTTAGTATTGGGTATAGTAATATTATAGTTAATTGTTTTAATAAAAACTCGTTTTATTTAATAATTCAGTTAGTTAACAACAATAAACAAAAACAATAATCTATACTGAACACAAAATAAACAAAATTGATTGAATAAATCAATAAAGTAACAAATATAATTGACAATATAAATAATTTATTTTAAAATTATTATTAATCATTCTAATGATTCGATCCTTGAGGAGACAATTTTGTCGTCAAACATCCGAATTGAAAACCTCCTTCTTCTTGAAGTCGGTTAATAAAACAACTACTGTATAACAATATTCTTTCAAAGAACCACATTCTCTACCAGGTGATAATATCACCTTGGAGAAATGACATAACCAATTTTTGTACAGTAGAAAATCTAATTACTCCCAAATCCGACACAAAAATAACAAAAACAAAAAAACTAAACAGTATCCATAGAGCCATAGCTCGCGTATTTCAAACAACTCACATCCTGGTCGCTCATCATCTCTTTGGTGGAGACGGTGGTCTCGATGCGTCGGATGGATCCCTGGTGGATGTCCACGTCTAGCGCCAGGCACTGGAAGCGGCGCAGCAGGAGAACCACCGGGATCGGCAGGATCCCAGCCAGGATCATGACGACGGCTATGGCTAGCACCCAGTCCGGGTAGGACTTCTTCACTGTGTGACCCTGGGAACCAAAATCAGATCAGTTAGTAACCAAATCTTGGCGATGGCTATGCTTGGCCTAGCACCCAGTCTGGGTAGGATTTCTTCACTGTGTGACCCTGGGAACCAAAATCAGATCAGTTACTATCCAGATCTTGGCGATGGCTATGCCTAGCCTAGCACCCAGTCCGGGTAGCTATTCTTGTCTGAGTGACCCTGGGAATCAAATCAGATTATTTAGTATCCCTTGCAGGAGAACGACACCTCTTCTTCACTGTAGCCCCGGAATTTATCATCAGGTCATTTAGTCGGTATTGTAGGAGGACGACGGTACCTATCTAATTTATCATAGGCAAGGAAGGATTTGACCTACAACACAATCCCCAGTCTCCTCACTGTAGTGCCAGCCAGATGAGTTGGGGAGATAGTGGACATAACCAACATAACTTTGACGAACATCATAACCGACATCTAGATTAAAAAGCATAGTCTCTTTCTGATGCAATCTGGTAAAAAGCAGAGGTAGGTATGTACTATTTATTTGCACAAAAATAACCAGCGGCTTAACAATAATGGGCATATTAATCACTAGTTCACTACCTAGTTTTCCTTTTGTTATGTTTTCCTCAAACGTTTCACCAAAACAATACTATCTTTTAGTTACAGGTAAGTGTGTAACTAGGTAACGTCCCGCCTGTGACTAAGCGCAACTAGTCTGCCAACGCGGAGTTGTCTATCAATTAAATGTTGTTATCCTTGGTTAAAGTACACTCGATACAATATAATTCGAAGAACATTTGGTTTTCAAACATGTCTTTTATGATGAAAATACAAAACTACCTAAAAATTGAGAATTTAGACTATAGATTAGATGAATATCTAATCTGTTACGTAGTTTATACGACAGACAGCATTATTATTGTGCGACAGACAGCATAAATTTCCTTGTATCACTATAGGTAATAGGTATTAAGGAAAACTTGTTTCGGTACACGCATCCACATACAGTTCAGTCTAGCCGAAGATGCGAGCATTACAACCGCTTATTATTTTCGGGGTTGCCCTGCAAGTTTTTGGTAATGATTTTGTGGTAGTCAATACTTTTAAAGGCCAGATAAAAGGTCGTGATGAAGGATCTTATAAAACCTTCTTTGGGATTCCGTACGCTAGAGTGGATGAGGAGAAACCGTTTGGGGTGAGTCAGCATGATTTTTATATTTATATTAAAGAGGATTAGTGATTGAATAATCTTCGTCAATGACAGTACACTGCTGGATGTAAGGTTTTCTTAAGGACCGCCACAAACTCCGACATCTTGTTTTTATCCAGTCACTTTCAGTCACGTTCTTGAGGTCGTTAGTCAAGTGAGTTAGGGAGCATACTATATTAGGTTTCCCGAGATATTGATGTGCCGTTCCCGAGAACGCTCTCTCAGCTGAGAATATTCTCGGGAGCGTTCCCGGGAGCGTTCTCCTAAGTGAGAAAGGTTGAGAATCATGTTTATAAAATGGGAATAAACAAACTTTCTTAAGTAAAATAGTATTAAATTAAGTCAACAGATAAGTGTATATTAAACAATACACTCTATTTGCAGTGAAAGGCTATATTCTCAGTGTTCCCGAGAATATTCTCGGGAACTTTCTCGGCAATATTCTTGGCAACTACAACTTTATTATATTTTATTTTTTTCGTCGTGAAATGTCGTTTTAATGATATGAAAGATGACAGAAATTTCTTTTTACACGTAATTAAATAATGTAACTGTAAATTTTTTCGTTTTTAACACGCTCTTATTAGGTCGTCGTGTATGCAACTAACTATGTAATGGAATCTTAGAATCTGAATTACACGCACTTCTAAGTCTTGTATCATTATGAAACTTGGCAATTATAATATGTAGATTAGAAATGACAATACAATATTGTGGTACCAGCTGGTCTGATGGAACTGGAAGGTGGCCAAAAGAAGTCCTAAACGAAACGGCAGAATCACATCGAGTTTGGGTTGATTGGATGTCTTTTCGAGATCTTTAAGTGCTAGATAATGTCCAGGGTCCTAATGATGGAGTCAGGAGGTAGCCATAGGAACTCCTAAAAGAAACGGCGGAAACTCATCGAGTTTGGGTTCGTTGGATTTGTCTTTTCGAGCACTTTAATGCTAGATGATGTCCAAGGTCCTGATGATTTTTGACTTTTTAGTGTTGTTAGTAATTAAATTATTAACAACTATTAGTTTTTTAAACTATTCTTATTTGACATTAAGGGCATATTTCACAATCGCTTAGTGAGGGCCTGTTTCGCCACTTCTGGATAAGTTGTGGATAGCCTGTCTGACAGATCATTTGACACATTTTTATAGAAAATACGTGCTAGCTAGATTGATCCGACACTTAACGAATATATCCCGTACATTAGTCTGCACGAGATTAGAATGGTTCTCAAACAGCTGAAAAACAACAAGGCACCGTAATCACGTCTGAGCTTCTGAAAGCAGGCGGAACGCCGGTACTAAAGGCCCTAAACCTTGTTGAAGAATTATAGACCCATTTCGCTTCTGAGCCATGTCAGCTGTTTTCGATAGTCACGCTAGCAGGCTCGACGACTTTCAGCCCCCCGAATAAGCCGGTTTTCGAAAAGGCTTTAGTACCACATACCATAATAAATACGCTACGGCAGATTATACGGAAGATCAAGGAGTATAATCAGCCACTTTGCGTTTGTGAACTATGAGAAAGCCTTCGATTCGATTGAGACATGGGCAGTGCTTCAGTCTCTTCGACTGTGCCAAATTGACTATTGATACATTAAAGTGTTGAAAGGCTTGTACAAACACGCCACAGTGACAGTCCGTTTTAAGATCAGGACTCGAAACCTATCCAGTTGCAGAGAGGGGTGAGACAGGGAGACGTCATCACCACCGCCCTGGACGATGTTTTCAAGCTTCTGGGCTGGAGCGGATTCAGCATACATATCAACGGCGAGTACATAACCCAGACAGCAGACGATATCGTAGTCATGGCTGAGATCGTGGAAGATCTAGGCACAATGCTCGATGGTCTCAATAGAGCCTCTCAACAAGTGGGTCTCAAAATGAACATGGACAAGATTTAAAAATCATGTCTAAAAATCGTGTTGCACCCACTCCTCTAAATCATCGAATCCAGCTCGGCTGGGCAGCCTTCGGGAAGCTTCACGATATTTTCACGCGGCTTCTCCGTCGCGTCGCCTCTCCGTTTTAAATCCACTTGAAATCCGCTTTAAATCCACTTTGAATCCGCTTGCAATCCGCCAGGGTGGCAAGGGCCTTAAAACTCAGAGGCACACTGATGTTCAAATACTGTAGCCGAGTCCTAAAGCCGCGGCACGCGATCGCCACGAAAAGAGTGAGCAAGACTGCAATATCTCACTCACACGTTTTATGCCTTGTTTATAACGGTCTTAACGCCCAGTTAATAAAACATCGAAACATTACAAATCATATCACATATAAAGAACAAAATTTAAATTAAAACTAAATGTATTCTGTCGAGAACACTGAGAATATTCCCGGGAGCGTTCTCGGTTCTCGAGAATATTCTCACTGGGAATATTGCCGGGAACGAGAACTTTCTCAGCGGCACATCTCTACCCGAGACGTAGTCTCTATTTGGGAACCCGTTTGGTTCTGCAGCAGTCCCACTGCCGCTTCAGCTTGCTTTGTTTTTGAAATTAATTTGGTCTTAAGTATACGTTATACTTGAATACATGATAATTATCTATAAATTAATACTTTTTTCAGGTGTCTTCACCCTACCCAAATTTCACCGAGCCATTCGAAGCTACCGATCCTACCATAATTTGCCCTCAACTATACCTCACTCATGGCGTCATCCAATGTCTACGGCTTAATATTTATGTCCCCAAAACCACAGCCAAGAAGCTCCCAGTCATGGTCTGGATTTATGGAGGGGGCTTCATCTTTGGTAGTGCCGGCGGCTATGGAGGCCAGCATTTAGTGCAGCACGATATTATCGTGGTAACAATAAATTACAGACTTGGTCCATACGGATTCCTTTGCTTGGATGACCCAGAGGTTCCTGGCAACCAGGGTTTGAAAGACCAAGTGGACGCTCTGAAGTGGGTTCAGCAAAATATTGAAGCCTTCGGCGGGGACCCTGCGAAAGTTACCATCGCTGGCGAGAGCTACGGTGGAGGCTCTGTAGATCTGCACATGTTTTCGAACACAGAAAAGTTGTTTGACAAAGCAGTTGTGCAAAGTGGCACTGCTCAAGCGGACTCCATCTTTGTGAAGCCAGATTACAAGGCTGCGATTAAACTGGCTGCTTTATTTAATCACACAGCCAGTAGTACTAAAGGTGCTCTAAAATTCCTTGCACAAAAAGACCCTCAAGAGTTGATGACAGCCTTCAGTTCCTCTGGCATATTGCTTAGAGCCTGCAAAGAAAAGAAGTTCAAAGGAATACAGAGCTTCCTTACTGACGACCCTTTTCATTTGTACAAACCGAAAAGAGTAAAAGACACACCTGTGCTCTTTGGATATAATAGCAAAGAAACATTCGATACAATTGCAAACAAAACTGATGACTTTTTTGAAACTAATAAGGATGTGTTTATAAATGAGCTAAACAGAACTTTCAACTTTCATAAGAAAGAGTTGTTGCAAATAGCGAGTATTATGAAGAAGTTTTATATGGGAAGCAAACCAGTTGGACAAGATACTAAACTGGCTTTGGGTGATTTTTGGGCTGATTTTCGTTTAACATATGCAACTGAAGCATCTGTGACAAGGCTAGTGGACCAGGGCGCTAAAGTGTATAAGTACATTTTCTCTTACATTGGAAATAGTAAGTATAAGAATGTATCTGGAGCTGGAGCATACCATACTGAGGAACTGCAGTATTTGTTCGAGTTGGGGGAAGAATTCGGTTTTAATCCTTTAGTCGAGCCTGAACAAATACAGATGAGGGACAGGATGACCACAATGTGGGCGAATTTTGTTAAACACGGGTGAGTTTATGGATAAACATATTTATAACAGGCATAAACAAATCGCAATATCACTAAGTTTACCACATGAGTACCACATTATGTTATGCAAAGGAATGATTTGAATTTGATTTACTATGGTGTATTTCCTTTAACGAAACTAATCGACAAAAATTGTATTAATTTATGTAATTTCATAGCATTAATTTAGATTTTCTTGCCATAATGTAGTAAAAAACTGCTTGCATGTTTCACATGTTTAGTATGTTAGGAACTTAGGAGTGACGTTTCAGGTAGTTCAGGTTTTGTTTATTTTGTAGGAACCCTACTCCAGAGACATCGGATCTCCTGCCAGTGCGATGGGAGAGGGTGCCCAAGGACTCCAGACCCTACTTGAACATAGATGTGACGATGGAAATGCTCGAAGACGTGTACCATGACAGGGTAGCATTCTGGGACCTACTGTGGCACAACTATTGGAGAAAATCCAAAATTTTATCGTAAAGATACAAATTGATGAGAATATTATGTTGCAAAATAACTATCTAAATCCAATTTTTTTATTGCACACTAGCTTTCCGCCAGCGGCTTCGCCCACGTGGACTCCGAAAAACCCAAATGTTTTACGGAACCCTATTTTTTCCAAAATAAAATATAGCCTATGTTACTCGTGGATAATGTTGCTTTCGAATGGTGAAAGAATTTTTAAAAACGGTCCAGTAGTTTTTGAGCCTATTCATTACAACCAAACAAACAAACAAAGTTTTCTTCTTTATAATATTAGTGTAGATTAAGTACCAATTTAGTACTTTTAAAATGAAGTATAATATTATCAATAAGTATGTTAAAGTGTCAAGTCAAAATAATAAAACTTTGATCTGAAATTTTTAATAGTGGAACTTCAGTGTTTTAATAAATTTGAACTCCAGAGACATCCAAACGTTGTTCATTCTTCACCGTAACATTATGGTGTTGTGACCTATCAATAACCGATTACGTAATGCCACAATATTATATATTTAAATATAAGTATAATATATAAATACAACGTGTCCCAAAATTCAAGGATAAGCCGGCGCCGCAGGGTGGACATAGTCATGACTGCTTTAGGAAAAATAAGAAAAAAAAATCTATCTCAATTATTTTTTAAGTTACATAATAAATTATGAAATTCGTCGAAAATTGACACCCCTTATGATATTTTACATTACCACGCCTACAATTTTTCAAATACTTCAGTTTTTTTGTTTGTATCGGCAACTTAAGTAGTGCTGCTGTCCACCCCAATTCTTAAAACCCTCAGAATCCTTGCAGTTTTTACACAAAAGTTAATCAAAATATGATATTTCCTTAAAATTTTGAACGATTTTTACTTACACTCCACTTTGACTCGTCGTTTTGTAAAAAAACAGTATGAACACTACTGCGGCAAGTTTTTTATAAAGTTGACGCAACTATCCAAGATTCCGAAATGGTATAATGTTTTTATTACTTTGTATTATTTTCTATCGTATTATCTTTGTAAAACCAAAAATCGCATGTCTCTATCCCTATCACAACATTTGCTATGATCGTTTGAACAAAGGCCTGCCATAACATTATTCTCCGCTACAGGTAGAGACAATTTTAATTTTTACTAAAATGCTTATTTTACTTCGAATTTTTTTGTTTTTATTTGAAATCTAACTTGTCTTTATCAAAATTACAAATCTAGAGCCATTTTCAGTGTTGTTGTTAACGAAGCGTTGAATGGCGCGCCCGGAGAGGCTTAGTTCAAACGATCATTGCAAACGTTGTGATAGGGATAGAGACATGCGATTTTTGGTTTTACGAAGGTAATACGATAGAAAATAATACAAAGTAATAAAAACTACCGGTTATAGGGCATTTTTTGGAGAAATTTATCAAATAACCAAAAAAACACGAATTATTAAGCGGATTTTTTTCAAAAAGTATCATTTTTTTATTATTTGTTGGCCTTTTTTGTGTATTTTATGTATTTTTTTAGTATTGCCTGTTATTTAGCATTATTACTGTTTTTATTTTATCAAGATATACCACTTAGTTTAAAACTTATTACGTTTTCTTTACAAAAAGTAATTGGAAGAAAAAAAATTCTATAAAAAATTAAAAAAAAAAATACAAAAAATTTTTGACCTCTTTTTTGTCGATAAAAATAGGTCTAGTTTCGTCTGTTTTCATATGTACACTTTAACGTGACTCACACTGTATATAATTATATTAATAATAAATAAATAAAAAAAAATTATAATGTATTTTTATTCTTTTTTGATAATTTACATTGTAAAAGAATATTTAAAATCAAGAATCAAAGTTAATAAAAATATTATTAATATTAGTAGGTAGTGTAGGTACCTAAGTAATTGATTTAACTCAAGATAGACATGCATTTAACAACATTGGGTAAAATATTCACTTGTTTAAGAGCTCTGTTAAATTTTCCTCATATGAGTCACCATAACAACACTATCTTACATTGAATACCAGGTAATGTCCCGATCTATGACTAAACACATAACTAGTTTGCCACCGCGGAGATGTTTGTACAAATATATTGTATGGTTCGACACTCAAAGTGTAAGTTCACTACCATACTATATTTACTTCAATAGTTTTTATATTTTTAAACCCAGTCTTGTCAAACTCACTTAGGTGGAACAGGCATAATTTCAATTCGTTTTAATTTACTTATTTTTATTTGTGTTTTGTGTTCAGTGCATGCAGTTATCACCTGCAATTAAGTCTGCACTTAGCCTGAAAACGATAATATTGTTTTTAGTTAGTGGTGGTTATCTAAAACAAATAAAAAAAAAGTACAATACCTAGATGTGTGTTTCAAAAAACTTGTTATTTCCACGTTAATTATATTATTTCGATTTTCTTGTGAAACAGACGGCATCATTTTCTTTTTAGCGATACAATAACAAGGAAAACTTGTGGTTTAGGTACACACATTCACAATCAGGTCAGTCTAGTCAACGATGCGTGCGGTACAACTGCTTATACTGTTCGGGCTTGCCCTGCAAGTGTTTGGTCAAGATTTCGTGGTAGTCAACACTTCTAAAGGCCAGATAAAAGGTCGCGATGAAGGCTCTTACAACACCTTCTTTGGGATTCCGTACGCTAAAGTGGATGAGGAGAACCCGTTTGGGGTAAGTCGGAATATGTTTTTTATTCATCGTTTAGCTTTTAGTCTTCACTGCAAGAAGATCCTTTCCATTTTACCAGAGGCAAAAGAAGGGTTTTGGCATAGTCGCTAGCTAGTTTGGGAATTCTGATCTTCGCATGTTTTTCCCTAGTCGAATAGCTTACGTCATCCACGGGAATACGTAAGGTGTTGGGTTTTTATGTATTTTTGTATTACGTACCTAGATTAATATTGGCTCATGATACGTTTCACCATGGCACTGTCTAAGCCTCCATCAACAGATGCAACAAAGCATAATTTTCTTCTTTTAGCCAGCCATGTCCTTGGCATCATACCGTGTAAATAATTCTTCATAATTATCTATAATTTTTTTTTCAGGTGTCCTTGCCCTACCCATACTTCACCGAACCGTTCAATGCTACTGATATCACCATAAGCTGCCCCCAAGTGTTCCGCCCCCAAAGTATCATCCAATGCCTTCGCCTCAACATCTATGTCCCAAAAACCACAAAGAAGAAGCTGCCAGTCATGGTCTGGATCCATGGAGGGGCCTTCATCTTCGGAAGTGGTGGGGACTACGGAGGCCAGTATTTGGTACAGCACGATATCATCGTGGTAACAATCAATTACAGACTTGGTCCGTACGGATTCCTTTGCCTGGATGACCCAAAAGTGCCTGGCAACCAGGCTTTGAAAGACCAAGTGGACGCTCTGAAATGGGTTCAACAAAATATCGAAGCGTTTGGAGGAGACCCTAAGAAGGTTACAGTTGCTGGTGAAAGCTACGGCGGAGGCTCCGTAGATCTGCTCATGTATTCGAATACAGAAAAGTTATTTGACAAAGCAATTGTGGAGAGTGGCACAGCTCAAGAGGACGCTATGTTTGTGAAGCCAGATTACACGGCTGCCATTAAACTGGCCGCATTATTCAATTACACAGCTTGTAGTACTAAAGACGCTCTGAAATTCCTTGCACAGAAAGACCCTTTCGAGTTGATGCAAGCATTCAACTCCTCTGACATACTGCTTAGGGTTTGCAAAGAAAAGAAGTTCAAAGGAGTACAGAGCTTCCTCACCGACGACTCTTTTCATCTGTACAATCCAAAAAAAGTAAAAGACACCCCTGTGATATTTGGATATAATAGTAAAGAACAATTCAATACGATTGCGAACGAAACTGACGACTTTTTCCGAAGTCTTAAGGATATTATTATTGAAAGCCTAAATAGAACTTTTAACTTTAATGAGGAAGAGTTGTTGCAAGTATCGAGTATCGTGAAGAAGTTTTATATGGGAAGCAAAGAAATTGGACAAGATACTAAGCTGGCTTTGGGTGAATTTTTAACTGATTTCAGTTTTACACACGCAGCTGAAACCTCTGTGACAAGGCTAGTGGATCAGGGGGCTAAAGTGTACAAATACATTTTCTCTTACATTGGAAATAGTAGGTATAAGAATATACATGGAGTCGGAGCATATCATACTGAAGAACTGCAGTATCTGTTTGGGTTGGGGGAAGATTTCGGTTTTGACCCGTTGGTGGAGCCTGAACATTTGATGATGAGGGACAGGATGACGACAATGTGGGCGAATTTCGTAAAATACGGGTGAGTTTATTGAAATGTTTATTATTCAATTTAACTGTTTTTAATTCGATGCCCACAAATGCCAGTGGTTTGTACAAATTGAAAATCACTAGCTGTACCTAATTACATATTTCCTCAAACGAAATTAATCAGTTTCCTGTATGGGTGTGTGGATTTATAAGTGATTTCTAAATAGTCTGTAATTGTTGTTTAAACTAGAAACAGAACCTTCAATTTCCTAAAATTTTCATTATCAAATAATACTTGCATTTTTACACGTTTATGATAAAGATGCCGACTTCTAATTTAATGTTTTCTTTTTTAGAAACCTCATTCCAGAGACATCAGATCTCCTGCCAGTGCAATGGGACACGGTGCCCAAGGATTCCAGACCATACATGGACATAGATGTGACCATGGAAATGCTCGAAGACGTGTACCACGACAGGGTAGCATTTTGGGACCTACTTTGGTACAACTATTGGAGACAATCTAAACTTCTATGTTAAGAAAAAATAATAATAATGAAGATATTGCGTTAGAAAATTAAATTTTGTTACTGATATTATCAAGTCAAAAACAACAAATTATATTATGCAATTATTATGGTGGTGGAACTAATTAGATTTTAATAAATTGGCAATATTCATGTCTTTGATGGTATATGTTTTATAATTCATTATCATTTTCAGAATTATTTAAGGCTTTATTTATCTTTATTAGGTAATAAATCACGTTTTAAATGGGTGAGCTTGGTACCGAAGTAATTGCTTAAAAATAAATTGTTCTGATTGTTATGTGTTCGCATCGAATACTGGCACCGCGATGCAGGTGTCTACGGCGCGAAAAATATGTTTACAACGCCATCTATTGACTTGTGAATGGACCATTGTTACATTGACATTAGCGTTGTAGTGCAGAATATATAGATGTCGCTACTGGTAGCAGTTGAGGATTTAGCACGAATAAAGGCCATTTAACCCTGATAGAATTATATTGTCTTATCATCACAGTCTTTGAAGATTCGACAAAGTATCAAAGTATCACGTGATCTCTGCTAGTGTTGTGTCGTGATCGAAATATCATACAACGCCATCTGTCGACATGTGACGGAACTAAATTGCAATATTACTCGTTGTAATGCAGGTATTTAATACAGATGTCACTTACCTCGGCAGCGTCCCAGGCGCTGTACTCTGGCGGCTTGATAAGCATAGACACGATAGAGGAGACCAGGATCCCGGACACGATGAACGGCCCGACGTAGCGCCAGGTGATCTGCCAGTACAGTCCTGGTCTGTAGCCCGTCATCTCGTAGATATCGTTGGTGAACCTGCGAAGGAAAACAATCGAGTATGAATTGAATATTGTTCGTTTCAGCCAAATGACGTCCACTGCTGGACAAAGGCCTCTTCCAAAGAATTTCCACAAGAACCGGTCCTGCGCTGCCCTCATTCAGGTACTTCCCGCGACCTTCACCAGATCGTCGGTCCACCTAGTGAGAGGCCTGCCGGCTGCCCACACTTGTGCATGGTGTTCCGGACCGTGGTCGCCACTCGAGAACTTTTATGTCGCAACGGCCATCAGCTCTATGAGCTATGTGCCCTGCCCACTGCTACTTGAATTTAGCAATTTTTTCGACATTACTCATGAGCGGGGAGTTTTATGTCTTTCGTCGTGAGGATCTAGGACTTGGTCGCTTACTATGGGTAGAAGTACTCACCCAAATGGCGATGGAGCGTGCTATGCTTGGAATTTCCCTGAGTGATCGAATCAGAAATGAGGAGATCCGCAGCAAAACCAAAGTGAACAATATAGCCCGCAGAATTGCTAAAATCCAGTAGCAGTGGGCGGGGCAACTAGCTCGTAAAGATGATGGCCGTTGGGGCAGCTAGGCTCTGGAGAGGAGCCTTCGTACTTACCGGAAAACGCAGCGTAGTAGGACGTCCACCCGTATGGTGGACCCACGACCTCATAAAGGTAGCAGGAAGGCGCTGAATGCAGGCCGCTACCAACCGGGCGTTATGGAAATCATCGAAGGAGGCCTATGTTCAGCAGTGGACGTCTTGTGGCTGAAATGATTATGGCTAAAGACATAAAGTCGAACATCTTAAGCTGGTACTCATGAAGATCAAACCCAACAGGTGATGTTTAACGTCTTCAACTTCTGCCACAGGAGCTCAAACCTTAAGACCATAGACATAAAACTCACCGCTCGTGCCCATAAATATAGATGACCGCTATCATCTCCATGAGAGCGACCACCACCAGCCCGACGGTGCCGGCGAAGGAGTCGAACATCTTGAGCCAGTACTCGCCCGCGAAATGAAGAGATCCGTAGGAAAACCAAAGTGACCAATATAGCCCGCAGAATTGCTAAAAACAAGTGGCCATGGGCGCGGTACATAGATCGTAGAGATGGTGGCCGATGGTGCAACAAGGTTCTGGAGTGGAGGCCACATACTGGAAAACGCCGCGTGAGACGTCCACCCACAAGGTGGACTCACGACCTCATAAAGGTAGTAGGAAGGCGCTGAATGCAGGCCGCTACCAACCGGGCGATATGGAAATCATTGGGGTAGGCCTAGATGTTCAGCAGTGGACGTCCTATGGCTGAAATGATGATGATGACCAAAGACATAAAGTCGAACATCTTAAGCTGGTACTCGTGAAGATCAAACCCAACAGGTGATGTTTAACGTCTTCAACATCTGCCAAAGGAGCTCAAACCTTAAGACCAAAGACATAAAACTCACCGCTCGTGTCCGTAAATGTAGATGACCGCTATCATCTCCATGAGAGCGACCACCACCAGCCCGACGGTGCCGGCGAAGGAGTCGAACATCTTGAGCCAGTACTCGCCCGCGCCAGTTGTGAAGATCAGACCCACCAGGAAGCAGAATACGCACACCACGCCTGTGGAACGAAATATGGTTACAAAATATCTTAAGGCGCCTTCAAATTAGACAAGTGGGAAGCGCTGCAATGGCGCCATACTAGTTTTCATACAATGAGGGTTTTCGCGAATGAAAAATCCGCCAGATGGCAATACGTAGACGCGAGGTCCAAATGCTGCATGATTGGTTATTTTTGACATGACATTGACAGATATGTCAAAATCCACCAATCACGCAGCAGTCAGACCCCACATCCACGTCCCGCCATCTAGCGGATCTTTCATTCGCGAGAACCCTCATTTCTAGAAGCGCAACAGCCGCATGTCTTTGTTAAAGTGTCACTTTGGTAGTGGCGCTGCAACTGCGCTTCTAAAAATTATATCAATACTATTAGTGACTGTTGCCGCGCCACTGCAGCGCTTTCTCGCGCGCCTTATTTGAAGACGCCCTTAAAAATATTTATTTAGTCCGATAGAGAAAGACTCTGGATCAAAAGCTAAACACATCTTGTAAACATTCATGAAATGCAATAAATACATTTTGACTTTGACTTTGACTTTGAAGTTGTAGTGCGCTGGTCAATCTGTCGAAGAATCACGAGTCCTAAAGTGGAGTCCGTGCGTGACTCAGCAAGCGTAATACAACTATTGCCTTGCGTGATCACTGACAAAAGCTGTATGTGACAAGCCGAAGCCCATATATATTCCTGTATGCGTAGTTCCGGCCTGACTCCAGCAGTATGGACTGCTATAGTATAGGCTCATTTAAGATAAAATAAGATAAGTCTGACCTGTGATAACCGGCTTGCTCAGTCGCTTGAAGAAGTCGATATCGAAGATGGTGCACAGCATGCCCTCCATGATGCCGATCTGGCTGCCGAGACCGAGGGACAGGAGCATCAGGAAGAAGGTGATCGACCAGAACGGCGCTGGAGTCAGCTTGAGGATAGCTTGTGTGAATACTATGAAAGCTAGTCCGGTGCCTTCGGCCGCCTGGAAGTAAACGGCTAAGGATGATTTATGTTATTTTTGTACATTTATAAAGGACAGATCTTTTAGTGTTAGGTCTGATACTAAAGTCTTAACGCGGCATTTCATAAAACAACAAATTATTGCCTCATCAATAGCAGCAGAACTGCGTCGGTGTCAGATCAAGATGGCTTGCCTGAACACTATTAAGGCTAACCCTGTGCCTTCAGCCGCCTGAAATGGCCCTGCTATTAGCAATTCGGTCTGACACTAACGGCCCTCAGTGACGCACCCGTTTCCTGTTCAAAAAACTCAGCTAAAAAGTTTACAGTTGGTATGGGCTCTCTAATCTACCAGTGACTACTTTGAATCTAGGGGGACAGGTCAAGTGTTGGAGTAAGACCTCCAACCTCCGCTACGGTACCTCTTCCAGCTGCCTGCCGATGGTGCACTCCGTGACGTTCATCTGGGCCATCTGCGTCTGATTCAGCAGCGGGAAGTGCTCCCGGTAGTAATCCGCGGTCGAGTTCAGCGTGAACCCGCCGAAGTGGTGCGTGGCCAGGAACTTGATTTGCCTGTCAAAGAACACGGGGTTTTAGGCTTTATTCTGGAGAGTAGTAGGGAATTGGGTTCTCTGGCTCACGGTCGTTCAACATAATCGGAGTTTTAGTTTTCAGTCTAAGTGAATCGTTCAACTATAGAGCGCTCTCGAGAGGCGCTTTACAGCGCCTCTTAAGCGCGCAACGAGTTGACTGATTCACCTAGACTGAAAACTAAAACTTCGATTATGTTGAACGACCGCGATCCAGAGAACCCAATTCCCTATTATCACACTCACAAACTAGATTAGTGTATACCCTAGTACCTCAGTAGTTCTAAGCTTTCAGTGAACGTAATAGTAAAACTTTTAAGACAACTAAGTGAACCTATGAGCTGATCTATGCATACTATGAGTAATATATTGAAAACTACATTAGTAACTGATATTAGGATAGTTATTAGCTTTCAGAAAGAGTTAATAGTAAAACTCTTAAGACACCAGTGTGGTAGTTTCATGAGGTGCAGAAGATGAGTATACCTAGGTAGGTTAGTAAAACTATTCTTAGGTACTATGTATGTAGTTTGAAAACTAAAACTTCTTCTATTTAAGACTACAATTCAGAACTCGAATTATATTATTTCCAAATATTGCAAACTTTTATCATAATTACAAATAAATAAATAAAACAGCAAAGTAAAACTAATAAATATTTATTGTAGGAGTTTTTACAGATGTCAAAATAATATTAAAAATACTTATCACTTGCATTACACATTTTCTCACTCATTTTATCAATTATTTCACGGGCAGCTTGGTATATTTCATCCTTAAAAATGTTTTGAACGATATGCTGTCCACATATTTCAGCGTTACATTTACAAACTGGTCCTTCGCTTTTAAACTGGTCTGCATCATAAATTTCTAATTTGATAACTTTTCGCCCAACGGCAGGAATTTTGATGTACGAATATGTTTCGTTTTCTTTTGTTCGCTTTCTTGATGCACCCGATCCTTCAGCAACTTGTTTCCCATAATTTTCTTGCACTTGATTAGGTACATTGAAATTGAACAGAGACTCGGAATCCTGAAATTAAGAACAAATACGTTCACATAAAAATGCTTTTCATTAGAATTAAGTTCACAAAGTTTGATTTGCATTGAACTTACCGACATTTTTGTTATGATCTTGATTTAGCTCTACTCGTACAGATAGGTGCCTGCAAGTACGTGTGACTATACCTGACAATATTTTGAGACTAATAAAATATTGACGAAGTGGTATATTACTTACATATTCTTATTGTTTCTNAAAATTTTGAACGATTTTTACTTTCACTCCACTTTGACTCGTCGTTTTGTAAAAAAAAAGTATGAACACTACTGCGGCAAGTTTTTTATAAAGTTGACGCAACTATCCAAGATTCCAAAATGGTATAATACTCTAAGAAAACTAGTCGCAAAACTGAATTTAAAACCAGTTCTCCTCAACTAATTGAGCTGAAATTTGGTATACTTATGAAAGTACGATGACAATGCAATATTATGGTATCATTGAGCTGGATGGAGACTGGAGGTGGCCATAGGAACTTCTAAACGAAACGGCGGAATTGCATCTAGTTTAGGTTCGTTGGATTTGTCTTTTCGTGCACTTTAGTGCTAGATGATGTCCAGAGTGCTGATGATGAAGTCAAGAGGTGGCCAGGAGCTGGCCATAGGAACTCCTAAATGAAACAGCGGAAGCTTATCGAATTTGGGTTCGTTGGATCCCGGGCACTTGGGCCATGAGATTGAGAAACAACTAAAATATCACAAGGGGTGTCAATTTTCGACGAATTTCATTATTTATTGTGTAACTTAAAAAATAATTGAGATAGATTTTTTTTCTTATTTTTCCTAAAGTACCCATGACTATGTCCGCCCTGTGGCGCCGGCTTATCGTTGAATTTTGGGACACGTTGTATACAGTGTGAGTCACGTTAAAGTGTACATATGAAAATACATGAAACCAGACATATTTTTATCGACAAAAAAGAGGTCAAAATTTTTGTGAGATTTTTTTTAAATTTTTTATAGAATTTTTTTTCTTCCTATTACTTATTGTAAAGAAAACGTAATAACTTTTAAACTAAGCGANCAGTCAATTAGAGGTAAACTCTGCATGCAATGAAGTGTTAATTTCAGAAAAATTACATCAAAGTACAATTTAGACAAAGCTCTCTGCTCTAAGCGTATATTTATATACGATACATGAAATCGGTCTTGACACGATGTATTAATATTCCTTATTTTAACTATTTTTTTATTAAGACCACGTTTAAAAGTAAATAAATAATTCAATTTGTGCTACTGACAGATAAACTCAGTAAATATACAAAGGAAAAGTGGTAATATATCAAATTCTATATATTTTATTTTTCATGTTTATTGCACCGCCTTAGTCTCTCTACTAGACCTGTGGTTGACTGGCAGAGAATGCCACTTGGCATTAAGTCCGCCACTGTACAGTCTTATGTGCAAAAATATAAATAAATAAATGTTATCCTATCGGGTTTGAAACTCCAGAAACTTAAACTTACACAATCAAACTATAACTTCTATCAAAGACAAGTGTAAAATTTTCTAAGTCTAAAACACATTAAAACTTTACTATGTTAAAAATTACTAAAATATTTCTAAGTGTTTTTTCAATAAAAATCTAACCAAAATCGGGCATAGGTTCCCCGTCGGAACAAATTTTTCTTAAAATTAGACTAAGTTAATACTAAACATGCACACAAATTTTCAAAGTCCCAATGATCTTCAAATTATAACTAAATCTTCAAAGTTTATTCTTCCATACAAATAAGGTTCAAATTCGCGTTTCCGATTCACTTCACTACGTATAGTATTTTAATATCACTTCCAAGTTTTTTAAAGTTATTTACCACGAAGCTATAGAGTTCAATTTTGCTTGACTCGACCAATAAGAAAATAATTCAACACTCACAGTTTTTGTCCTTGTCACTCACTCGCGCGTGACGTCACTGGTCAGTTGTCCTTTTCTGGCACCTGAACTGGCTCCTGACGGCACCTCCTCACCAGCATCAGCACCAGCACCGTCCCGAAGTCCAAAGTCGGATTCGCCACCAAGCTCGGACCCCTGCTGCAGCAGCTCCAACTCCTCAGGGTGCTGCTCCTCCAGACAGGCACCACCAGAAAGGCACCCCCAGTGCCCAACACACCGCCTTAATGCTCCAAAATTCGCGTCACCGTCAGAACGACTTTCCCATCCGGATGAGGTCTGGTCTGGCACACCTTACCGGAGCTCGAAGGACCATGTACACACCCCAGGTCCAGTCGAGGGAATGCTAGGCTAAATAAAAGCCAACTTCGCAAACAACGGTATATTGTTCCAAAGATAGTCGATTTCATACAAACAGATTTTACTATATAAAGGGCCCTCCGAATACTTCACTTGTGAGAGCTAAGTAAGCACAGCGCCATCTATTGGTAGTTTTACGAACTTTGTTCTTGTAAACACTTGTACATAGAGCATTTTCTGTTACAATTTTAAACAAAATCACAAGATTTCATAAATAAAAGCTCTAAGGCTAATTTAGGAGCGAGGGAGCTTACGGATACAAGTTGTAGGAATGCATGTGTACGTAATGTTGTGTAGTAAGTAATTAATACCTACTAGGTTTTCACAACACAAGAAATTCGACTTTACAAGCTTTTATTTACCCAACGCGTCCCCAAAATGAAGTGGAACGGAATGTTCCCGCGGAGGTAATTATAAGTTGCGCGATCCGAGACAAATGAGTCAACAATTCACTTCGCGCTTTAATTAGATGCTCGACTTTAGCCCGGACTAAGTTCACCAAGTTGCGGCTGAGGGATGTGGTGGCCACACGATGTGATTGCAGGCTATAGGCTTCAAGCGTACCCAGAACGACACCACGAGGACGCTCAGTACTCACAGCAGGACTTAGAGCGCTTTTACATTTAGGCGATTTAGCAGCACGACAAACGCGCGCAAGACGCGCTGCCGAAAGTTTCATACTATGTGACTGCTGATGCCTCCCTTCACATTACAAAAACGCCGCTGCCGCGCTGCTGTCGCGCTACTAACGCCCTAATGTGAAAGCGCTCTTAGTAGGGCTCTCTAAGGCTATTGGAATATATTCAATTCTTGCTGTTGTCGCTGTCACTCTAGACAGAAATTTGCTGAAATGAGAGGAATAGACTATAAAACTAAAATTACGTTAGCTCTGCTGGCCTCAAAAAATATAATGAATAAAAAACTAGCTCTACTATTAGTTGCCAAAGTGCGCCTTGGAGCTTTTCTCTTCAAATTCTGATTAAAGTTTGTACGTTTCTTCATTTCGGTTTCAACGGGAGCGACATTAGTGTCTTTGTTTCCGTATGCTCATCGAAGTGCTACTGTCACTTTCAAGTTTTGATAATTTTTTAATTTTTTATGTAACTGTAATTATTTCGCTCAGTTCATATCCACCCTATGCTAGTGGAGGTAAGTTTCGAGCGGCAAAAGTTTGTATGTTTTAAAACGGGCTGAATTAACAATTTAGCGGTCGCCATGCAGATGAGCCCAACCCTGAATCCCGGCCAATCCCGGAGCCCCGACACTTCCGGGATTTTTTCCGTTGCCTGTGATAACATTTAATGAGCTTGCAGCCGCTTTGAGGATTATAAAACGGGATTAGTACTTAACTACTTCTTTTTGGCTCGAGGAGAGGGTATTTGGCAGAGTCAAAGGAAGGCGGCAGAAATTCAGAGCTAGTACAAGCCTATGTTTTTATACTTTTTATGCCAATTGTTGAGAATGAAATGGACTAAACTAAAACTGATTGAACAATAAGTTTTGTAGTTTAATACTTTACCTGGGTGGTTACGCAATAATTTAGTTTGGAAAACAATCTAGTAAAAGCCGTCTTCGAGTGAGATGGTATGGAAAGCAAGCCAATATTGTATAAAAATATAATGAGACTGTTACAAGTCACAAAGACAGCAAGTCTCTGCGCAACACCTCAGCTTTTGTCGCGCTAGGGCCCTCAGTGCGAGAGGCGAGCTAGTTACGCGCTAAGAGCCTCTGACCTAGTATTACTACGACTTATTCCTCTCAGTCTATTGTATATTTCAGATTGAATTCTGAAAGGGCGATGGATTATGAAGGTTATGCGTCTGAAACTGAATAGGGAGAAAAATAAAACAGACCGGGTTGTTTGTTCTCTGTTTGTAGCCTGTAGTTTATGAGACGGACTTGTACAAACAGCGGCAGCATGTACTGATTGAGAGCAATTATAGAATAGAGACTGAATAGGGAGAAAAATAAAACAGACCAGCTTGTTTGTTCTCTGTTTGTAGCCTGTAGTTTTATAATAAGATGAGTATAAAAGTTACAAAGACAGCAAGTTTGGGTGCAACACCTCAGCCTTTGTCGCGCTAGGGCCCTCGACGCGAGAAGCGAGCTAGTTAGGGCTGAGAGCCCTGACCTACTATTACTCGGCTCGGCCGCTGCTGTCGAGGGCTATTGTGCACTTTACACTTGCATCGAGTGCTGTGCAGTATTGAAAGAACGAACAAAGTTATTTAGTTATCTCGGTTGCATAATGTGTTAAAGTAATTCCTTGTATAATTATAAGCTTTAACACTAACCTTAACTTTTTATTAGTAAGGGACTAATAAAAAGTTACACAGTTGTTGAACACTGTTTTAAGATAACATTTCCATACTAAACGTCCCTTTAAAACACTTTTCAACGAACGTGAAGTTTAATAGTAAGGGGGTAAGAATCCACATACATAATATACATAAATCTTTAGAGCTTACAATAATAAATCTTATAAATGATAAAGCTTACCTACCTAATCACATTTTTTTACACTAAGGTCCACTGTGGGTTTCCATTCAATTTTCATGTGTGTCTGCAATCAATACCTACACCTCAAATAAACAAAAAAACAAACGGTGATTCCACGACAAATCCTACTGGCCGATTCGTTTGCGCTCTCCCATAAAAAATACGGCCTCATCTGTGAAGGTGGGTCGTAAAAAATGAAGACGTCCGCGCTCATTACAGTTGCCGGTGATTATCGGGGGGCCGATAATACTCAAAGGATGTTCCGAAATGGAGTTGTCTTGTTAGGAAAAATGCCAAAAGTTCCGGGACCCGGCTAATTTGGCAGGCACGAGAGGCGCGGATAGAAACGGAATCATAAATATTTCATATCTCCACTTTGTTCTTCGCAATGTGCTTTCAGTAATACAGTTTTTTGATAAGGCTATAATATTGAGATTGGGAGGAAAGTTTAAATTTATGGATAGATTTTAATTTACGCTAACGCCTCGAGATAAAAAGCGGAAGAGTATAGTTTGTAGTTTCTTAGGATTACGATATGACCAGTTATGAACTTCAATTGACTGATAAATAGAGCAATTATTTTTGACTAGCGGCCGTCCGCGACTTCCCACGCGTGGATCCCGCTTTACCCCCTACCTACGTAATAACATCTACCTGCATGCCAAATTTCAGCCCGATCCGTCCAGTGATTTGGGCTGTGCGTTGATAGATCACTATGTCAGTCAGTCAATCAGTCAGTTATATATATTTAGATATGTAAAGGCATAGGAATGGGACTCAACTTCTTATTCCCACTGCTACAGATTCTGGTTTAATACCTACTTGCCTGTGTAGAAAAGATCTGCATTTATTAAACACCAGTGAAGGTCAAGCAAGGGAAGACTTTAGTCTCGAAATTAACCAAAAGAAAATAGGCGCAGGTAAAAACTAAGGATAACAAAGGATAGAAAAATATCATCACAATACTATATTTATCAATTTTATTATTCTTCATGAAAATACCTACATTAACCAATTATAATGCATGTGATTTATTTATTTCTTTATTTTTATGTCACTTGCTATCGTAAGTAAAAGAAGGCCTAAATCATCACGTCTTTTATTCTCACAGTTGAAGAGGCACTGGTTCCCATAGGTTTTCCCGTCGCTGCTAGTCACCGGATCATAGTTCTTTGGGCATGCGCAGCCGCAAGCACCTTCACTGGTCACTTCCAGGCAGGGAAGACCTTCTTTCACCCTCTTCTGACTCGCACATTGCAACGCGCAAATATTTGTGTAAGTTTTCCCATCATTTCCACAAACGGGACAATAGTCATTTGAACAAGTGCAACTACCGCATTCTCCTTCATAAGCAACGATCAATGGGGGCAAATCCTTCCTTGCTCGTTTTGCATTCTCACATCTCAGGACACAACGGGTCGCATACGTGTTATCGTCGCTGGCACATACTGGTTGATACTCATATGTGCAGGCACACTCGACACATTGTCCTTCATAATCTATACCAATCGATGGCAGACACATTTTTTCCCTTTTCTTATTGTGACAAGCTAGAGAACAGACGCTACTATAAGTTTTCTCGTCCGTGCCACACACGGGGTCATAAATCGCCGGGCATATGCATTGGACGCACTCACCTTCATACGCTATTGTCAAGTTCTCGAGACCTTGTCTTCGTCTCTTTTTATTTTGACATTCAAACATGCAAATGTTGCTGTATGTAATGCCATCAGATCCACAGACTGGCCTGAGATCAGCTGTGCACACACAAGTGATACATTCACCGTCATACAATATCGTCAATGGTTCTATTCCTTGTTTTTCTCTGTGTTTGTTTTCGCAATTAAATGAGCAGTTATTTCCATAAGTTTTCTCGTCGCTACCACAAACAGGATTATAATTCAACGGGCAAATACACTCAATACATTTATCATCATAAAGAATCTCTAATTTTGGCAAACCTTGTGCCTGCCTTTTGGCATTTTCACATTCAAAGATACATTTGTTACCGTACGTATTCCAGTCACTTCCGCATACTGGTTTAAATTCTTTAGAGCAAGGGCAATGAATACATTCTCCTTTATATTGAACTGTTAACGCTGTTTTATTCTGCTTTTCTCTTATCTTATTTTCACACTCTAAGACACAAGAATTTGGATAGGTGTTATCATCGCTTGCACACAGCGGTACATATTCAAGTGAACATGGACATTGAACACATTCGCCTTTATATTTGATGTCTAATGGTGGCATATTTCTCGCTTTTCTTATACTGTTTTCGCATTCTAATGTACAAGGATTGCTGTAAGTAATTCCATCACTGGCGCATATGGGGTTGTATTCTTTAGTGCACTTGCATATAATACATTCACCCTCGTGCAACAAAGTCAGCCGCGGCAAACATCGTCTTTCTCTCCTTTTATTCTCACATCTAAAAGCACATTTATTACCATAAGTAACGCCATCGCTGCCACACACGGGCCTGTAGTCTGCGGTGCAAAAACAATCCACACACGTGCCATTGTAGTCGATGACAATTATTGATGATAAGTTCTGTGCTTTTCTCTTAGCGTTTTCACAATCTAATACACATGGGTTAGTGTAAGTGTTTCCATCAATGCCGCATATCGGAGCGATTTCGTCGGTACAAATACATTTGATACATTCTCCGTTGTACAGTAAATCTAGTGGCGGAAAACCTCGTTTTTCTCTACGACGATTTTCACAACCAAGAGAACAAACATTTCCGTAAGTATTTCCGTCGCTGCCGCATACAGGTGTGTAGTCTGCCGTGCATATACAATCTATGCAAGCACATTTATAGTCAATTAAAATTGGTGGTAATTGTTTCGCTTTTCTTACGGCGTTCTCACAGTCTAGCGCACAAGGATTGCTGTAAGTTACTCCGTCACTGCCACACACTGGGTTGTATTCTTCAGTACATGTGCATTTAACACATTCACCGTCATACAGCAAGTCCAGCGGCGGCAAACATCGTTTTTCTCTCCTTCGATTCTCACATCCAAAAGCACATATATTATAATTCTAGACTCAACCTTCACTGAGGCGATGGCTTTTTGTTTGAGTGCTGCCTGGCTGTGGATCAGGATGTAAATATTGCGTTTTTTACACCCCTGTTCTTTAGTGCACACATATCATAGCGTAGAATTCAGCTTGAAACACTGTAGCAAACCTCCTTAAGCGTTCACTATGTTCGAAGTGTTTACAGTAGACGCCCGTTCCCATTCCCAAGGCCATATTTACAGTGGCGGCGTAAGTCCTAAGGCACCCTCTGGTAACCCCCACGATTTTGGGGTTACTTACCGATTCCAAGATTGAAAGACAATGACATAGACCGCAGACTTGCTATGCAGATGCGCCAGTGAGTACTAATCTGTGCGACATGTGTCACCCTCTGATGCTTGGCACCCGGGGCGTTCTTTGTCTTCGTGACTTTGAGCTATCAGTAAACCAGATTAGGCTGTTCTGTTGGGATTTTGGTCCTCTTTTTAGTCGTCCCTTGTTCAAGATCTATCCACTTACTTATTAGATCAATCCAAGGGGTTCGCGTATAGGATTAGTTGCAAGTAGAGAATACAATCCCGGGATCCCGATTCCCGGGATCCCGGGATCCCGACCATTTTCTGGTCCCGAAAATCCCGGGACTGTACTTGGCTAATCCCGGTATTTTCGGGATTGATATAAACAGGTCTATTTTGCATTCGACGATCCGTTGCGCCTTGATTATGACTTTGCCTGGATTATACCTTAGCATAAAATTATACAGTGTGAGTCACGATAAAGTGCACATATAAAATTAGGTGAAACGACCTTTTTTTATCGACAAAAAAGAGGTCAAAAAATTTCTGAGTTTTTTTTTATTTTGTTATAGATTTTTTTTTCTTCCAATTACTTATTGTAAAGAAAACGTAATAATTTTTAAACTAAGAGGTATCTATACTTACTAATATTATAAAGCTGAAGAGTTTGTTTATTTGTTTGTTTGTTTGTTTACTTGAAAGCGCTAATCTCCGGAACTACTGGTCCGATTTGAAAAATTCTTCCAGTGTTAGATAGCCCATTTATCGAAGAAGACTATAGGCTATACAACATCATGCTACGAGCAATAGGTGTAGAGCAATAATGAAATATGTTGCGAAAACGGGTTTTCACGCGTACGAAGTCGCGGGCACAGCTAGTATCCTAATATAATAAAAACAGTAGGTAATAATGCTAAATAAGGGGTCATCCATAAAGTACGTCACACGAATTTAATGATTTTTTGAGCCCCCCTCCGTCCTTGTCACAGGTAGTCACATTTCTGAGACCCCCCCTCCCTAGTGTGACGTCACATGTTTTGCAATTTCACATAGAAAAATTATTAAATAAACAGCAGTTCCGAAATAGTTTTATTTCCATTTAAATTAAGTACTTTTTTATGAAATCAATATTATATCAAATATTTGAAACAATTGAAATGTGATGTCACGAAACTTAGGACCCCTCCCACCCCTTGTCACACCATGTCACACTTTGTCGACCCCCTCCCCCATTCTGAAAGAAATGTTGGGCTATAGTAAAAATCCACCTAAAAACAGAAAAGTGCGCCAACTTCTGCAAGGCAAGACAATAACCAAGAGAATTAAGTTCCTAAGGATTTGCTATTACGGCCACATTCTACGACGATCCGAACCACATGTGCTTCACAGCGCTATGCGATATAAAGCAGGAAGATTGAAGATTGGCAGACCCATATACACCTGGAAGGACACACTAAAGCAAGACTTAAAATACTACCGAAGAACGCGAAACGAGTGGATTCAATTAGCACTAGATAAAAAAGAAATAAGAAAAGCAGCTCAAGAAATATTCGATCTTGAAGAAACAGACAGCGAAGAAGACCCAAACCCAGAACCGCAGCCATCGACGGAACAATGAAGCTAGACAAGCAGCTGTACAAATTAAGAATAAGCAAGCAGTCACACCAAAGGCCGGACCGCCCAACTCATCGCACCAACGCTCAGTCCTATCAACGATAACCCGTCTTTACCTATTTTCCTAGACCAGGCTCAGGATGCATATCTACTTGGTTGTGGTCGACCGGTCGCGGTTTAAAAGACGCAGCGGCTAGTCGGCCGTCCTCTCCCATCCCAGAGCGTGTCCTTCCTTAAAATCGTGCCCCCTGGTATACCGGTTTGACCGGGACAGGCCTCGTCCTGGCTGGGTCGGCACTATCGTATCGTATCGTATCGTAATTTGGATACCGAGAAATCGTGTTGTATCCACCTCACTGATTAAAATATCATTGTAGCATATTTCGATATTAGACGGAGAAAGGGATCTTTGATTAAAGTGCATAATGTGTGTTTTATTTAGATTAATTTTTAAGTTATTATTATTTAGCCAGTCAATTATCGAATTTAATGAATTGTTTATGTCATTTTTATATGATTTAATGTCATTACAATTTATAGTTATTGTACTATCGTCAGCGAATAAAGTCATGGGTTGTGCAGTAGCAATTGGTAGATCGTTTATGTATATTATAAACAAGAGAGGACCTAGTACACTGCCTTGTGGCACACCATATTTAACTAAACGTTCCGACGACAAACTTATTTCCTCAGATTTGGAGCTAGTGTTTAGTCTACATATTTCAGTTCTTTGGCGACGTTCGCTCAAATAAGATACGATTAGATCCAATACATTTCCTCTAATGCCATATGCTTCAAGCTTTCGGATTAAGATTTTGTGGTCAACATAATCAAAAGCTTGGGTCATGTCGCAGTATAACGAGCATACCGGTGTTCTTTTATCAACGTGAGTTATTACATTTTTATAGAAGTCAAAAATTGCCATGTTTATAGTTTTATTTTTGCGAAAACCTTTGTTGAACTTTAAATCAAATTATCTTATTAAAACTGCCCTCGTCGATGTAACCACTACCTGTAATGGCGTTTGGGCAACTAAACTCGAAGGTACTGAGACGCTCGGGACACGGGAGTAAGTAGAACATTGCAATCCAGAAATTTCAAAAACCGGAGCGGTCTGTGAGACCGCACCTCGTCGGTTAAAGGTTAAGATTACGTGATAAAATAATCACTGATAAATGTGATTAATTTATCACTTTTACCTCGCCTGTCGGTAATTATTCATAATAACCAGCGATTATTCATAATTTTCAATTTATCACATTAACCGTAACAGATAAGTATACCACTTACATACTTTTTTTAATAATTTATTTATTAAAATAAATACATACATAATATACATAGTTACACCCAGACCCGTCAAATAATTTAAATAAAACCAAAATTATGTGCTTTACTCAAAAGAATATTGACTTGAACCTTGACATACGATATTTAGGAAAGTCTGTTGAACAGACAAATGTAACCAAATTCCTTGGGTTAAATATAGACAGTAAATTGAACTGGGCCCTGCACTCTGAAAATGTCTGTAAAAAACTGAGCCAATTCTCATTTGCACTTTATAGGCTCCAATTAATAGTTAATGAAAGCGCTGTACTAACAGCCTACCACAGCTATGTTACCTCAATACTTAGATATGGATTAATTTTTTGGGGTAATTCATCTAACAGGGAAGTTGTATTTAGAGCACAAAAACGCTGCATTAGATCTATGTATAGTCTAAAGTCAGATGTCTCATGTAAGCCTTATTTCATAAATAAAAAAATCTTGAACTTACCTTGTCTATACATTCTGGAGTGTTGTATATTTATAAAAAATAATATCNTAACGCCGTCACTTCCGCACACGGGCCTGTAGTCTGCAGTACAGATGCAATCGATGCAGGTACCATTATAATCAATAGTGATTGATGATAAATTCTGTTTCTTGCGATCTACATTTTCACAATCCAGTCTGCAAGCGTTTTCGTATGTGACGCCATTGCTGCCACACACTGGGCTACCTTCCGCGACACATTCACAAAAAGTACAAACTCCTCGGTACTTCTTATACAGCACTGGAAGTCCAATTCTATCTCTTTTTTTATTTTCACAAGCCAATTCGCAAGGATTACCATAAGTTTTACCATCGCTGGCACAAAGAGGATCTCCAATGGCTGTGCAAAAGCAGTTTTCGCATTCTCCTTTATATTCAATTGATATTAATGTGAGGTTTTGCTTTTTTCTGTACTTGTTTTCACAATCTAGTAAACATTTGTTGTTGTACGTGTTTCCATCAGTACCGCAGACTGGATTGGATTTTTTAGGGCAGTTACATTTAATGCAATTTCCCTTGAACAACAACTCCAAAGGTGATAGGCCAGATCGTTGTCGCACTTGATTTATACATTTTAATTCACATTTATTTTTGTATGTTCTGCGATCGCTAGCACACACAGGGTCCAGAACACCAGGACACACGCATCTGACACACTTACCTTTGTAGCGAATTGTTATTGGACTCAAACACTGTTTTTCCCTTCTCTTGTTCTCACATTCTAGCTCACATGGGTTACCATAATCTTTGCCATCACTGCCACAGATGGGGTCGCTAATCGCTGGGCAGGCACAGCTGACGCATGGACCTTTGTACAATTGTTGTACCTCTGGGTAGCCCATCGCATATCCAATTCTATTTTTGCAAGCCAGGTGGCAGGGAGTATTGTACGTGGTCCCATCGCTTCCACAAACAGGTTCGATATTCAGAGGACACATGCAGCTCTCGAAGAAGCAAGCTCCTGAATAAGCTAATCTAATCGGCTGGAGACCTTGAGCCTGATTTTTGCGACTAGCACATTGCAGCAGGCAAATATTTCTGTACGTTACACTGTCTGTACCGCAGACCGGCGTGATGATGCTGGAGCAGATACAGGGTGTGCTCGAACAATTTCCCTCGTGTGCAACGACGATGGGTCCAAGGCCCAGACGCTCGCGTCTGCTGCTCTCACATTTCAAGTAGCACTCGTTGCTGTAGGTGTAGTTATCACTGCCACATACCGGTAGGACGACTTGAGGACAAATACACGGGTCTTCTAGACATTCACCGTTCCCTTTGAGGAAGATGGGCGGCAGGCCTCGTCTTATGTTTTCAAAACTTATACAGTTCATGACACATACGTTCGTGTAGGTTCGTCCATCGGTTCCGCAGACAGGATAGTAAATATAGCTACAAGCACAGTCGATGATGGGTGGCGGCAATGGTGCTATTACCGATGATGAATTTTTTTGTTCTGCGTGAGATGTGGAAGCATCTTGGAACTTGGTGTGAAGAATAACGAGAACCAGTAGTCCTGTTGACAAAAATAAAATAAAAAATATTAAAAATTATCACAATTAGTATTTCAGACTAAAAGAATTAGTGCAAAAAATCAAAAATTACCCGCGCCAATCTTCATCTTGCGGTCGGCCTGAGCTGATTACATTTGAAAGGGTCCTTTATTAATTTATATTGCTCGTGTTGTTTGTTCTACACAAGATTTATGTCTTGTAGCGCACCTTCTGTGCAAATAATAGTACATAACTAGTCGCTTTTACCTGCTTCACCTGTTTTTATATTTTTATGTAGGTATCTGTAAGTTTTTTGGATTCGGTTCTAATAAATTATCTGTATTGATATAATAAAATAAGTATTGATGAACAAACGCTGGCCGTAACAGCACACTTGAAAATTTTGGGACCTCTGAATCTGAAGCAGATGATCTTACCACTAGACCACAGAGGCGATTAAAACCACCCACTGAAATAACTACAAATATTTTTTAAATCGTGTAGATGGTAACAAATCTACACCGTGTTGATTGTAACCGATGAAGTCTTTTTGGACTCTAGTCCTTGGGCTGATGGCTCTAATACATACCTACATTTATTTTTGAATTATAGAAATTACAATTTTTAATGTACAATTAATCAATGAACATAATCAATAGACAAAGAGAATAATCGCTTATTGTTATAATGTAAATAATTTTGAAAATCTAAATCATTAATTAATGTTGTTATTTGTAAAACAACAATAAAACCATTTCTTAGGAAAAACTCGTATAATGCGTTTCAATGTTATTGTCTTTGAATAATAATGGTGTTTATCACAAGTGGGTATTAACTGCGAACACCTTTGTAAACAGTAAAAAAGTATAAAAAATTACCTTAAATGTACAGGCTGATCTGGCATCTGGTAAACAAGTTGGTGGAGCCATTTTGAGAATATAATCGGCCGTTTGATCCTATGTGAGCAACTTTTTTTTAATGTCTTTTTTGTTTTTAAATGTATTTTTGGTCAAGTACATTGTAATGAGAATATGGACGTCGTTATTTTTCTGTATACTAAGCTAACTAGGATTTTGAATAATTTTGAAGACTTACTAAAATACTTAAAACGAAGTGTACCTATCGAGATTTACTGACAGAGCAGGGAATAAAGACGAGAAAGATAGGTTTGAATATTTTAAATTGTCTCCTTTTTCTAAAATAAAAGTGATTTTTAATGGCAATTTTTAAAACAGCATGTAGTAGGTAGCACTAGTAACACTTTATTTGCATTGTACCTCGGCCGTTTAATCCTTTGTCAACGTAAATTGAGTTCAGGAACTGTAAACGTGGGGTCACAATGTAAGTACCTAAGCAACGTACATAGGTAATCTAAACCTGGGACCAGCTAATGTACGAACATCACTGCATTTGTCTAGCATTCTACAGAATGTTGTGTTATGTTGTTCGAATAGTTAACCATTTTATTATTGCGCTGTTTCAAAGACAGTCTTACAAACGTACGGTCTATTTCATTTTAGATCGTCTTCTTTGGGTTGTAGTAACATCTATAAAATGAGGAATATTTACTTTTATTCGGATCCGAATTGGGACGTAGACAAGGTGAGACCACATTAGCCTGTTGAGATAAAATTAGTAATAGTAACTGAAGATAAATGGATTAGGCTGGACCCAGACCATAGGTTTTAGAGAAGCAAGTTAGTGAAAGTGACGGAACGTCCTAGATCCGCTTGTGCGCATGATTTGATAAAACCCGGCGGCCATCGTCATTCAATCTTGCCACCTTTCAATTGGGATTCGGGTGGCGCGTGACTCGATCGGGCGACCGCAGAGTAGGGCTGTCCGAAACAGAAGAATGTTAATTTTTCTTTTAACCGACTTCAAAAAAGATCAGTATCCCAATTCATCGTAGTTAATCTTTTTTATGTCTTTCCCAATTACTCAAAGATGCAATCTGTCTCCATTCACGTAAGTTTGTTTTGCGGCAGGGTTTTGAGGGTAAGGTAGAGTCTTTTTTGTCTCCGCCAATGAGCCGAGTTCCAAACCTCCTTCCCACAGTCACTCGACATGGTTCACCCACTGCATCTCCAGTCTTTAGCATCTCATTTTGACTCTGCATCGGCCAATTTATGAAATTTTTATTAAGAACCTGACAAAATTTCATAAAGCATACCTACTAGTTTTAAAAATCTGAGATCATTTTTCTTCAATAATTATTTTAGCAAAACATAAAATCTTTCAACCCTAGGTGTAAATAAAGTAGCGAACATCGGATGTATGCCAAAACGCGACAAAAATACCTACGTCGCCGTTACGTAAGAATTCGGCAAAATCTATACCAGTCCGCCGCGCGGCGCGCCGTGTAGCGGGATGTGGGAATTCCGCCCAGGAAAATGGGCGAAAATTCCTGCACTAGTTAAAAACTTCTACAGGAACGGCGTTCGAAAAAGAATTAAGCTTTTAAAGAATTTGAACCTTGGAAATGTTCTAGACAAAAAGAAGTAGGTAGGCAAAGCTTAGCTTGGTAGAGTCTACGAATTGGTTACCTACATGCACATTGACAAACCATTGGATGTATGTATGGCTTCACCACTGAATTACATAATGATTAATTTTTATAATGCAAATATTTTATTAGTATAATAATAAGTCTAACTAAAGTTTTGAGTATGTGCTAAGAGTGTTTTCTTAAGTAATTTGTGTTTTTAACGCGCTACACATCGTCAGATTTACATTGGCCCACTAATTAATAGCAAATAGTTTATACAATTATACTATATCAACCACTAAATTAACAAATAACAAATTTTGCCGTTGAAACAACAGTCAAAATTCAGTTTATTGTTTAAACTACACGTGAAATTAACAGTTCGTGTTTAGTTTAGTAATGTTTACTCACTTGTGCAGGTGCTACTCATTACTGTTGGTTACAGTCAAATATCGTGTTCATAAACTATTTATTGTTATAATAAACTATACGACTGTGGAACATCTCAATAGTCCAGCGGTGACAAGGCTCGAATTGCCTATCCTTGGAAATTTTAGAATGAGCAATCTCACGCGCCGACACCATAGTCGCCTGTTCGCATAAAATATAAAAAAAATATTAGTGAACCTATACAGTGACACAGTGTATAATGATGAGGACTTCACACATAAATAGCGCTCCACGTAGTTTCCTCGTTTACTACCTTTACCTGCTCTTTATTATTGACTGCCAGTATGTGTTTCCAGCGTAAATCGTATCTCATCTGCTTCGAGCAAAATTGTGTAACTTGTAACACTACATAAACAGTTTATTTATATAGTACGGTATTACCGGCTCAAATAATTCGCGTCGAGCCGAGGGCCTGTTTGAGTTGCCACTTGTTGTTTGGGCCCGTTCACCTCTCGTTGAATATGCAACCTTTAAGTTTTAATTGCCTACTTTGCTACAAACGTAAGTGATACGGAGTTTGTAACGCAGCAGTGAAATACTGAACGGGGCAGGTTATGCTAAATGGGTCATTGAGTGAAATTGCACAAAAGTAGATCAGGAGGAATTAGAATTTATGAAAGACCGGTTTTTTGTTATTTTTAATCGAGTTCAAACAAGGAGGAGGTTCTCAATTCGAATGAATATATCGCCAGAGGGTACATGTGATATTGTGTTACAACTAAAAAATATACTCGGTACTTAAATGCCTTTGCTATAACAATTATTTAACTTTGTTAGAAATAACGCACCTGTAACGCCCCTGGGTCTGCGGGTGTCTATGGGCGACGGTAATCACTTACCATCAGGTGATCCGTCTGCTCGTTTGCCTCCTATCACATAAAAAAAAAAAAAAAAAAATGAAACAATGTTCAAGAATATCTTCAAAAGGATCGTAAAAATACATTTTAAAACAAAGGAGATCGCGCCTAATTTACAGCTTCATATTTAATTAAACATTACACCGGTACTAAATTTTCAAACGCAAGAAAAAGATTTTCACCTCTGAGCCAAGGGTCCGTGTGATATAAATTAATTAGTGAGCGGCGAGGGCTCTGAGAGGGTTAAACGAGGCGGAGGGGGGAGGGGGGCTCATTAGTTGGGCACAAAAACCGGGAGATAAGGAATATGGGAACTAATGCCTGCGATGCTGAGCCGGCTATCAGATGATGCGTGGATTATGCGGCGCGGTGAGCTTTTTTGCTGCTGTTTTTTTCATGGCAAAGACGATTTTAGCACTTGTTTTTCGCTGAAAAAATTGTACCTTCATTTTCAACTGGGACAAAAAACAGCGATGACTTTGGAAACATTACAAATTCATTTGATGATCGATTGTAATGTTTGTATTATTAGTAGACGTAAATGTAGGGAAATATTTTATTAGTAGGTAGTTTGGTTTCCTTTCAGTGATAAAATCCTGAAAATATTAAAACCATAACCTAAGCGTGGTCGGAAATTAATATTCATGTTTGAGAATTAGGCGTTATTCGTCCTGAAAACGATAATTTTCCTATCAATATGTGTTCTGAAATGCATCAACTATGCTCCAAGTGGAACGCATTTCCAGTGGTATGGCCAAGCGCCCAGTAATAACAGACCGTCTTCGACACGGCCTGGTAGAGTCAGCCAGCACAATTACAGAATGTCAATAAGAAAAGCTTTGGCATCTGAATGATTTCCAAATCATTTACAAACTTGATACTCTGACAAAATGTGGATGGAAGAATAGAAGGCAAACCAGCAGTTTTGGTCAAATCACTCGCAGTGTTAGTGATCCAAACTAGTTAGTATTTGAGGACCACCGACCGAATAGCTTAAGTTAGGATTAACTTACTCTTCATTTTCGTTGTGGCTCAGGATTCAAGCGACGAATATTTTATTTTCATGAAAGTCTTCCGCGTATGTCACACTTATTAGTTTAAATCATAAACTGGCTGTTCTTGTAAGTTCTTTGTAAAGGACATAAAAGCAGACCTATGCGTTTGTATTATTTTGGTCGTTGTTTTAATTTGCATTACTGATCTCATTGAACTGTGGCCGAGATCTTAGCACGGTGCCCGTGTTATGATTTAATTTGCGTTCTCCAGCCGTAAGCCCCGTGTATTCCGCAAACACCAAAGCTTCCAGTGATCGCTGTTGATTGGCTGCACTCGCTCGGCTGTGGCCGAGGCTCGGGGGTAGACAGTGT